CTACCAGCTTTTTCTCTCTCTCATTCTCTCTCTCTCTCATATATAATATATCTCCAAACTTTAATTACAGCATCATTTAACAGTGCTTTTTATTTAAATTTATTTTAAAAATATATATAGGCCTAGGAACCGGGTGAGGGGGCTTAAAAGTTGGAATATAAACATTTGTGCTTTACCCCCACTGTGAAATTATGGATAATCATTGGCAATTAAAAATTGTTAAGACAGTATTAAAAACAGAACCTAAACTTGGTTTTAGAAAAAAATGTTTGTATTCAAACATTTTATTGTACATGTACTTGATATACTTTTTTTCAAGAAGTATAAAATTTATGTGAACTAATCATTTTTCCTGCAGATATAATACAAAAGAAGGAAGGACAATGGATGAACTAAGAACACAAACACTTAAAATGATTTTAAGGAATGAAATCGAGTACCTTTGTAGCACTTTAGACTTTTGTATCTTGAAAACCAATCTCATTAGACGTAATATACTTCCATCAAGGATAATAAAACTCATCGAAAGTCATAAAGTAAGATTCCAAAAAATAGGACTTTTTGTAGAGTTTCTAATTGAGAAACCACAGAAAATTTACCCATTTCTGCAGATTCTTGGAGAGGAATGTCTTGGATATAAATTTGTGTATGATCGTATAACCGCTGAGGTTGCCACACTTACCTCCACGTCACTGGAACAATTGGTTGTCAAAAAGAAACCTTATTAATTTATTGAAAAAAAAAATTGAACAGAGAAGACTTTTCCTGTACCTACAGACATTGGTTTAAAACACTCCTACAGAGTTATGAAATTGTGAGCTTTTGAAGAACAAACTCTCTCTCTTCTTCTCTCATATATAATATATCTGGCAATAATGCAGCGTCTTTTCTATAAATTTATTTAATGTTTAACTATCACAAAGATACTTTTAGCGGATCGTTATTGTATGGATCAGAAATGAACGCATAACTTGAAAAGATCACCCCAACGGGTTGGTAGACAGTGATAAAAGATTGTGAAACATTAAATTTTATTGAAACCGTTTAAAACACTAAAATCAACTTTATTAGAGACATTTAGTAAAAGAAATCTACATAATGCTTTTCCTAGCAAGATATGCTTATGCTTTGTGCCTTGGAGGAAAATCTTATGAAAATGTGTTGAGTCATATGGATCTAGCTCAATGTTGTATAAGCGATAAATTTATTAAACAAAATCTGTTGCGCGAGCGCGCCGACGCGCCGAATACAATTAGCCTTTTGAGCCCTGTAGAGAAACGGGTGTAGTACTTTTCATTCTATTCAGTATGAGATCAGTTGCTTATGAGAAATGTCCTAGGAAAACAGAAAAAATGCATCTTTTGAAAATAGCTCATGAAGCTATCGAGCATTTCAGCAATGAGGACGAATTTATTTCCGAGGACTTCAAAAGACAACTTTTCATAAAGATGGCAATGCTTTACTTAGGACTTGGTATTTTCGGAAACGAAGTTAAAGCCTTGAATTTATGTTCAGAAGATATCCGATGTGCAAAGCAATGTTTGAAAAAAGTAAAAGAGCGAAAAATGTGGGAAAGAATGGAGTTGCGTTGGAAAATGTTTTATTATTTGTGTCGAGCGAAATATTTGCAAGTAACAGATACAGAAAACGAATATTTGAGTTTAAAGATTATGCTTGCTAATCAAGCAAAAGCATTTTCAATACATTGTTATTTTGAGGAAGGAAAACATATTGATATCATTTTACAACATCTTCTTCACGTACAAAGCTCTCAATTATAATTAGAAGTGAATTGAAACAGGAGTAAGAATTATAGCCGACCTGGTCTGTCCAAACACAGAATGATAAAACATCTTGTTGATCCTTAGAAGAATCATCATGTGAAAGTTTAATCGGCATCGAAGTATAACATAATGAACCACTGCAACATCAATAATTGAAATTGAATTGATAGGTCTTACCAAACACTGTGTAATGTAATGTGCAGGACTGCAGTGTTCAAGGTGACGATACATGTCACTGTTGGTCAATGAAGGTGTTTTTCTTCCCGTTTTATTTCATTACATCGTATTTGAATGACTGATGGGCAAAGCATAAATTTTCAAGGAAATATTTCAGATTTTTTTTACGTTACTTGCTGGCTATCTTAGTCTTCAAAGCGTTCCATTGTATATGCACATACAATGTACCCTGAAAAAAAACTCTTTGAATAAAGTACCATGCCCACCTTACAAGGGGAGATAATCAAGAAAATACAAAAATAGGGTAAGTCATTGAAAAAATCTTCTCAGGAACCACTGGGCCATAAAAGACATTCTAAGGTAATGTAGGGGGGGACACAATAGGGAAACAAAATTTACATTGAAACTGGTGATGTAATCTCAGAAATTTTAAGCATTATACAATTATTTCATCTGGGATATAAATACTAAAATTTGATTATCAGAAATGACAACGCAATACAACATATTGAGTTATTTATTGATTGCTAGTATTACAGAGCAGTTTAAACACAGAGTTTGTAACAAACACATCCAAATTATACTCACAGAGACATGGTCAAGTACTCACAGTCTATAGAGTACCCAATTCATTAGTGCATGACACTGAATCTGAAAACTGTAATGTAGATGTACACATGCAGGGACACTAGGTATCACTGTAGTCTCTCATAGATTTAGACTATTATATTGTTTTGTGAATTATGTATTCTTATGTATAGTTTTGCAAAAGGCAAACAATAATATGGAGGATTACATCACATCATTGTCACAACATGTTAGTCCTATAAGAATACTTCAATAAAGAAAAGTAAGGTATATAATTTGTAATCTCTACTGAATATGGCTTTATTTAAGATTGGATACTTTGTAGCTAGACAAAAGCATAAAATTAGTTATATATTATATCTTGTAGAGTAGCTTTTGCAACTAATATATAATGATATGAATAAAAAAACAATTCAATTCTGAGCTAATTCCACTTTTTACAAAAAACAGGTGTGAAATCATTAACATGTACATGTATCTATATTTGATAGATTGTGGGCAGGGGAGTTTTTAATCTTCTAAAAAGTAAAATAATAATAAAAAAATATATACTAATCCAACATCTGAGCAAAATATGAATTCAAAACAAAAACAACACAAAGTATTCCAAAGATCTGTTGAACATGAAAAAACACCTTCATACAGTTAAAGTAAAGAAGAGTAAGGACAAAATGTAACAGTCTTATAAATATAGGAATCTCAAAAAACTGAAAACTTATAGACATGATTTTAAAAGTCATCATAAATTGTTTCAATTAATACAAATACAGTGTATAATCTAAAAAGTTTAAAAATGATAATAATATGTAAATTTAAATAAATTATTAAAAAAATAATTATTAATTACAAAACAGTATTCTCTAGCACCAAAACAATTCCCCTCTTAATAAACTGACACCAAGAGACATATACACCACATAAATGCCATTAATTAGAAGTCTAAAGAGACTGTAGCCCTACTGGTTTGTAAACATAAAAGAACTGTGAGTTGAAGAACAATTTTACATCCTGCTGTAGTTGTCTACTTGTGTACCAAATTTTACCAAAATCAAATCTAAACCATAGCAGGGGTAGCATTTTGAAAGGTATTTATTTTAAGTAACCACAGCAACACCATCCTTTCAAAAAAATATTAGGAAATTATGCATCGATAAAACCAACTTGTGTACCACGCTCTATATTGAAATCAAACAAATATCATAAGTGTGCTATTATTTTGAATATTGTTTACAGACAAACAACAGTTTTTCATTAATACACAAACTCATCAAGGGTCTTTGACCAGAAGAACATTTAGCATGATGTTTGAGACAGAATTATGCAAAATTTGATAAACTGTAAAATACTTTTTTTAACAAATATTATACAATACAGGGCTCGAGCTGTGATTCGCCATTGTCGCCAATTGCGAATTTTTTTCAAAAGTGGCGAAAAGAAATTCCTAAGTGGCGAAAATGATTTTTTTTTATGTACCATGTACAAAATTTGAGTAGTCTTGGTTAGCTCCTTTGTTTATTCAATGTTCACAGAATAGTCCCTATGTTTATTTAATGCAGCAGAGGTGTGAAAACTGAAACCTACATGTAGGAAATCACGTCTCGCTTGAACAAACACAGCTGATTAGGTAACTGGCCTGGAGCAATAAAGGGTTACAAAATTGCTTGGAATAATATAATTTGGATTAAACAAGGGGGTATAAAGTGTTATTAGGATATGAAGTTAGAAAATAAAAGATTTTCATCAACAAAATCTGGATCTATGTAGATCGTTTTTTTTAAAACCGAAAGTAGGGAAACATGACGAAAATTGTAATTTTACCTAATTAAAATTGAAAAGTGTGTACATTAATATTCCATAAACTGACAAAGAGTGAAAACGAAATTGGTTTGGAAACAGAATTATCTTAAATCAGTAAATTACACTGAATTATTTACAATAACATGAGCTTGCATATTAAACCCTGGAGTCTCGATCCAAGTTGTTAAAATAAAGTCAACTTTCAAAACCTAATTTTCATTACTTTTTAATTACTTCTTTTCACAATTGATTAATGAAATGATGAAAATGTCCATTTTTAAAAAATAACATTTTTTTACTGGGTCTTTGCCCCCCCCCCCCCCCCCCCCCCCCCTCGCAGGCGAAAAAAAAAAAATAAACAAGAGGACATTTTCTGTCAAGAGTTGACAGATTCAATATCAAATATCAATTCAATATCAAATTTATTGCATAATTCCAACACAAGTTTTTTTTTTTTTTTTTAAATGGATACTACCATGATTAAAGCTTTAAACAAATTTAAAACAATGTCTGTGTCAGATAAACATAATTAATAAAAAAAAGGACTAACATAAAGTGCATTGCATTGTCGAGAAATCAGATGTAAGTATGCCTTTCCTTTTGTCGCGAAAAGTGGCGAAAAATAATTTCGGTCCAGTGGGAGCCCTGATACAATACCCGGTAAAAAAATATGCGTAACATACAAAGGCTATACTACATGTAATTGTGACCTTTTTATCATTTTCTTCATCAGACCCAAATAAAATCATTCAAGCACCTCAATAATACAGAATACTGAGGAACACTGACGAACTTACAGTAAATACCGTTGTACAGCTAAATAAGTAAGTATAGCACATATACACTGCATTACATAACTGTCATCTAATATAAATAGGAAGTACTTTAAAAATATTTCAGATTTCATCTACAATATTTCCAAAAATGCATACACATGTATTATTTAAACTACTGTAACAATCCCTGAACAACAGCAGTTTCCTTGATATACAACGATCAGTCTACTAACGTTACGCGGATTCTTCTGTCTGAGTTTGGCACTTGTTGTAGAACAGAACTGCGTTCTCATAATAGTCACTGCTTAACCAGAAACACTGTAAAATATCCTCTACATCACGTCTGTCAAAAAGGAGAGGTAAAGAGTTAGGATGCAATTATTACCGTAAATCTGGAAATTTTTATTGTAGATAAATTTTTAGCAAATTTGCGTGTGCATTGCATTCGCAAAAATATTTTTCTTAAAAATAAATCAACATGTGAAGAATTTTTTCTCTGAGAACTTTTTTTAACTCAGTGAATAGGCGTCGGTAGGCACTGGCCATTTTTAAAAGAAACCTGTTTACACTAGTCTACTATATAACTACAAGTTAATTACCCATGCGTGTAAATTGCCCTCATTATATGCAATATTGTCCAATGATTTGACAAGCACTGAGGCGGTATGCCCATTTTTAATTATTTTCATAAATTAATTTGCCAATAAAGAGAGAACTGTCATTTTATCTAACCGTGTATCAAAACGGGCGATAACTCAAACTCAGTGCATTTACTAGAAAGTTCCAAATGTAAATGCGGCGTGTAAATTTTAGGTGAGAAAAAACCAAACATTGAGAAAAAATTAGTTATATTTGTTCTTCATTTGGATTATACTTTAGGTGAAAAGGCATACACAACCTCTAAAATGTTTGTTATATTTGATTTTGAAATTATTTTCAGTGCAAATCCTTTTGTATTTTTATCAAAATTGTTTCGGAGCGATTTTGCAATATCTTGCCACGTTGCGAGTATATTGGTGGTATTCTAACTGGGCATATTATTTGAAACATAACCTGATATGAAAATCTTCAGTGATTTTTATTTTTAGCACCAGTGACAATTTGCAAAAATTTGAAGCGTAAAAATTAATCAACAGCTTTTTGACCCAAATTCGCAAAAATAAATTGACGTAAAAATTTCCGGATTTACGGTATATTGTAACATTTTGAAGAACAATGAATTAACTTTGATTTTGATCATGATATTTCCAATATTTTCCGATAAGGTATTATTCAGCAATATTATTTATTCAGAAAAATAATTAAAATATATTTATCTTTGAAATTAAGCAGACATTCTGAATTTCTAATAATAGGAAACAGAAAAGCTTACATTGTTCCATCACAGAATTTGATGTTAATTTTCTCCCCTATGATTCCTGCCACCCAGCCTGGGAGGTACACATGTTGGTGACTGTCCCACATGGCTAGAACATGGTCCCCCACAGACAGGGGGTGATGCTTGGTGAAAACTCCAAATATATGATGGGAGGTCTGTGTGGCCTGCTCCCCATCACACCATTCCAATACATATTCCCTGCCATTACCTACTCTATCCTTCACAGAAGCTGAAAGATAGGATATTTTTTTTAATTAACTGGTACACATCTACCCAATTTTGAATGTTAATGTCTTATATGATAAAATAAACCTATTTGGGTTGCAATTTAATCTTTACTGCCTGAAATAGGTATAAGTGCTTGACAATTTACCTAAGTGGTAGCTTCCCATTCTGTCGTCCCTAGCAACCACAGCTTGCCCCACCCATCGAGTCTCACACTGAACAATGTAATTCACATCATGCTCGAACTTTTCTGCTGTCAGTTTATAAATTTCCTCCCTTGGAAGTTTGTCTTCTTCTCCGTCATAGAATCGGACTTTCATTTGCAAGTTCTGATAAACCTCCAACACAATTCCTGGTGCGTAACTGAAGCTGTAATGAGGGTGGAGGGCCACGACTGGATCTTTTGGCTGTTCCAGAAAGAAAAAAAAATCCATTGAAAAACAATGAACAATCAATATCTATCTCTCAACAGTGCATACAATGATTTTTGTTTTTTTACACTACCTGAATGACTTGATTGGCATCATCATAATCAGTGATTATATCCTCTCTCCATATTCTCTCACACATTCTTGTGCTGTCTTCAATTATGTAACTGAAGTCATTGCAATCCTGTTTAACAACACCTGAAATAATTTCAAAGTACATGTAATAAGTCCATATTTTGTCACCTTATTAAACAAATAAAACAGTCTAGTGTATTTATAAAATCTTATTTTTTCCTTTTCAATGAGGATAAGTATTTTGATAAAGATCGATAGAACAGCTCCCCTACCTCTAAAGTACCAGCCCTCATCAGACCAGCGAGCCATCACCTCTTCCCCCTCCCTCAGACACGGTAGTGATTTCCTCAACCTCAGGAGGCCAGAGGTCACCTCCTGACCCTGAACTGAGGATGGAGAATCTGAAAGTAGAGACATAGGTTAAATATACAACAATATACAGTATATGTGTAAAACTAAAGATTTTATTGTAAAAGTAAATAGTATGTGTTATCTATGTGTAAAATATCTATCAGGCACTGAATAAGGGACATACCATATTGCATGGAAAATGAAGAAATTTAGAAAGTATCACAATAAATTTAGCTTTTGGGTTAAATAAATGATAGGTATGGATTAATTGATTTTTCAAAAACAAAATGCTGTAAATAGCATATAAAGATGCAGGATATTGGAGGATTTACTAAAATCTCCCGTATCCTTTCCACCTAGTGTATAATTCGTACCTGGCCTGGCCTTGACTTTATTTACCTGGCCTGGCCTTGACTTTTCTTACCTGGCCTGGCCTTGACTTTACTGTCGTCTGAGTCCTCAGAATCCTCTACCTCTATTACAGCAGAACGACTACCAGATTTAACCGACTTCTCATACTTCTTCTTCTTCTTAAGTTTCTTCTTCATCTTCTTCAATTTTTTTGCTTGCTTTTGTATTTTCTACAGATTAGGAAATTTTTGGAGAAATGAATTCAAGTATTAAGCAATTCTCATTTACAAAAAATATCCCTATTTGGTGGAAAACTAATCTATTATAAAATGGATAGCTATAAGAACATACCTGTTGCTGAATATCAAATTGTTCTTGTTGCTCTTTCAGTTGCTTTTTGAGTTGCTTAAGTTTCTTGCTTTTCTTGTTTAATCTCTCCATGCTTTCTGACCTAGTCTTTAGATTGATAGGTGATTGAGACCTTGAACTTTCACTACTCCTTGACCTGGACCTTGATTTAGATGACCTTGAATTGGATCTAGATCTTTTATCTCTTTCTCCTGAATATGAATGTGACCTTGATCTACTTCTAGAATTTGACCTAGATCTTGACCTTGACCTGCTTCTAGATCTAGAATTTGATCGTGATACTCTTGGTGTTGGCGTTGGTGATCTTGATCTACAAATAAGCAAATGAGCATGTCATCAGATATACATGTACATTGCTTCATTAATAGCTGTTTTCTAAAATCTCTCTCTCTCATTCATGATATGGCTTATAATTAAAATTAATACACAAATCCCACGGTTTAAAATACTCTGTGCTGTACGTGGTCTATAGGAGAAAACATTTTACTAAAGCACTTTAATAATTGAGTTGATTTTTTTTTTTTAAATAATTAGAGTCGACAGAAATGAGAAGATCAATTCTTTATTCAATTGATATCAATGTAATCCCTTAAGTGAAATGGGAATCTATATGTTAATTGTTATAACTTTCATAATTTAAAGAGCAAGAGCAAAATTTAAATTCATTAATTTTAAAAACAATTTATACAGTCAATCAGTGTCATATATCCAGTTTCCTACAGAGGCAACTATTTACTGAAAATTTTTTTTAGATAATGAAAAAAAGTCAAACCTTGAGGCTTCCTCCTCTGGGAGTGGAGACATTGTTTTGCCGGTCCTTGCTGTGTTAGGGGTAGGGGCTGGGGGTCGGGCACTAGCTGGTCTCTCACTTATCACAGAACTCTGTTCAGTAGGGGGGCCACTCTCCGTCTGATCCACCACAGAAATCTCAACCTCTGGGGAGGGAGACGCTTTTCTCTCTCTGAAATGAAGGGCAGAGTTATATAACTGAGAAGTACCCAATCCCAAGAACATTACTGTTAATTTACTTTATACTTTATCTCTAATAACAGGAGAAGCCACTTATCTACTTTTCATTGACAATACATGTGTATTGCTGGAGGAGTTATTGCCCTTTGATTGTGTTACACGCATGTTCTGTACCTTTCTCTATGCTCCCTTCTCCCCCTCTTTTCTTTATCACTGGGTCTGGCTGATCGGGGAGTCTTTACATATACATGGTCATCAAAGCTGTAAGTAAGCAAATACATTGTAATATATCTGTACACTTAAAAAAGATTAAACTAAAACATGTACTCGTCTCATTTTGCTGAGAGTAAATTATAAATGTGAGAAGTTCTCATAGTAATGAAACTTTCATTTCTAAAAACAGCTAGATGGAAAACAATGTAAAATTAAGGAATGAATAAGTGAGTAGCTTTCTTGAAACTCAAGTGAGAATGATTACATACTACAACTCTGAAATATTGTCCCTGTGTAAATTTTTGTATTGTCATGGCTTACCTCCCTTGGTTCTGCATCTGAATTTCTGCAATGTAGCGGATTGCAAACTCAAATCTGGACTTGCTGATTTTCATGACATAATTTCTCATGACTGTTGCCTATCATAGAAAACCCATGAAAATTATCAAGTGAGCATGGATTGCATATTTTAGATTATATTTTTTATATGATCTAAAAGATTATATAAAGAAAAAGGTATTTGTCTATTTTGGGCAATGCAGTCTTACCTGTTGACCATTGTACATCATCACTGTGTAGAATTTGGCCTGAGCAGTCTCATCTTGAGGGAGAACCTGTACAATCCCTGGGGCGTAGCACTCAAGTTTGGAGTCTGTATTAATGACCCTCACCAAAACACAATCTCCAATCTAAAATTAGAGTATTTTAATTCATATCATACACTAATTTCAAAATGACCATAATTTGTTTTTACTAGACAAAGAGTTGCATGTTCATGCATGTAATGTACCCTGAGATGTGGTCTGGCGATGGCACCACTAGTGGCTATCATTAGTCTGGTAGGTGTCAGCACCTGTTCTTTGTCTTCAAACTCCACCAATGCATGCCTTGTGTCAGGACATTTTACCACAGTTCCTAAGAAATAAAAAGTCTTCATTTACCATAAATAGAAATAAATAATCATTTGGTAAATGTTGATGTATTTATGATGTAGTAGAATGATGACAATTTAATGCATATTGCATATTTTTGGGGATTTCTACAAATTAATGAAATATATATTTTAAAAAAATGGATTTATAAGTATAGATACTTCCAAGTCATTTAGGTCCTGATTGTATACTAGTATATGATTACAAATAAAAAATTGATTTCATTTTTTCATGAGATCATATGACAAGATTTACAACATCCATATATGGTTTAACTTGACAGATTTCAAAACAATTCATGGAAATAATAAAACATAGGAAGATATATGTTTTAGAACTGACCTGGATAGTAGAGTCCATCTGAGTCCCTCCTGGCCACCACGGACTGACCTTTCAGTGTGTCAAGGACGCGGCGTATGATGTTCTGTGGTAGTTCCTTCTCCTGATCCATCAGAAGTTGGTTCCGGAGTTTGACTGGTTTTCTGTCAAGGCAGTTGTGACTTCTATGGCCCTGTCCAAAATCAATATAATCAATTTAATACTAATAATGGCTTCTGGAGTTTCAAATTACTTTTAATTATTCATAAGACATAATAAAATGTTCTTGTCATGCAATTTGCAAATGTATGATCAGTTTTACCTCATTTTTTTCAATTTCAGTGTTAACTCTTAAGGGTTTTTATTTTTAAAATCACTTTGTATAATTATCAAAGAAAAAAATGTAAAATTATGAAAAAAGATTGCTATAGAATCCAGTAGTGAATCAAATCACAAAATTAAAATCTATTATTTTATATTAATTTCAGTTTAATCATTTTGACATTTAGTTAATGAACACCTATATAGCAACCATGATAATATAATTGAACCAATTAAATATAAATATGATGACTATTTTGCATTCATGTAATTCAACATTTAAAATGTATAGAGAAAAGTTTAATAGTTTTTTTTCAAAATCCTTATTTTCCCCCTTAATCCGTTTAAAGAAACCTAACATGCATGCATTATATTTATTAATTATAATACAACTATGATATTGTCTAATGAATAGTATACAGTCTGTATAAATTAAAAGTGGTGACTATAACCTCAACCATACATATTTTCTTTACTTAGCTAATTTAAGGCTTCATGGAAACTTATTTAAGGGATACAAACAAAAAACTGAATGCATGGATACGTGTACATATATATTTATTATTACATGTATTATTTTGGTTGTAAATTAATTCAAATTCATATTTCTAAATTTATATTACCGGGCCTACATGTATTTGAAAATATGAAATAAATTATCTGCTCATTGTCAAGTTCAATTTTCTTCCTGTTTGCCATTATACCCTTATAGATCTAAATTAACATTCATTTTTTGTCAGTTTTACAGTTTTAGAAAAAAAAATGGTCATATAATTTGTTTTTAATCCACAATTATAATAACATTACATCATTTACATGTATTATTTAAGATTTAAGCTTGTAGTGACATTGGACATTAAACAACAGTGTAAGGATCGAAAGTTTCCATGTTCCCTTGACAGAGTGTGAATAAATGGATCGACAGAAGAAAAAAATCATTTTTATATATATGAAGAATATTCTTTATAGCATACACATATCACACATTTATCCAAAATAAGAAGTAGCATTGAGTATATTAATTAAGTTACATTTTATACGTATATTTTGAAATAGGAACCCACAAATCCTTTTAAAGGGAGGTAACTTTCCTATGAAATTTAGTGTGTGATAGTTAAGCTCTAGATAAAGATTTCGCATTTAAATTTTAAATATTCCATTCCAGATATTAATATAATAACTTTATATTTTCTGAATTTTGTGCTTTAATTATTTTACAGATATATACAGCTATGTATAGTATATAGAATGATTAGAAAATGAGATTTTTCAGAGGTTTTGACAACCATCCACTTACCAAAGGCTCCTACTATAGTAATAGGAAATTAAGATATAATATATTAACAATTAAATTTGCGATAAAAAAATTGAACTGATATTTAAAGTGAATGCTAAATGGGTATACATATATAAACACAGCAGTGGGGATTTCTTTTGACATCTAAAAAGATGAGAATATATTGACCAATTTGAGGTATACAAACAAATGGTCCTGCACATAATTTACCAGTAATTTTAGTTTTAAACAAGAAAACTAAAAATCATTGGGGGGGGGGGGGCACAAATACACATTCCTCTTACTTTGAATGACTTCATTACAAGATGAATTTAAGGCATTTCCCCAAGTTTAATATGTACAATATATTAAGTCTTACATGCAATGAAAAAAAAAGTTTTTTCCCAAAATTCCTGTGCCATAATGAAATGCAAAAAATTATTAATTCTTGTGAAAACAAGGTATTAAATAATTTCAAATCTATACTAAACTGTTATCTGGAATTCTATGACCCATGCATTTAATTGGCATAATAAGCTCTATTGATCAGTAAATACATCATTTTATTGTAATTCATGCTGGTGTTCTAAAGATTATAAGATAAAGAATTAGGTGCAAGTACCACTATATTTCAAAGTTAACTCAATCAGCCATCCATTTTATTACTATCTTTATATTAAATATTAATGCTAGGAGAATACCTTCTGAATTCACAGCAGTAATGCAATGATTCTTGGATTTACTGCAAGGAATACATGCAAAAGGTACAAATAAAATAAGGTTTCTTATCAAACATTTTCTGAATAATCAAGGAATAACTGTCTAATTTTTTTTTTATTTCATAATATGTGATCAATTGAGTGGCTTGCATGAAAATTAGCATAAAATTATCATGCCAACCAATCGATTTATCATTGTCATGAAATCAAAAAATCTGACAGTTATTCTTTATATTTACATGCTTTCGATTCCGCAAATCAGTGTGCTACAAGCCCCGCTTCTGTCTCTATTTGTCCCGCCCCACACACGATTATTTTTTAACCGTGCCTATCAATGAACCAGTACAATTATGTAGAAATAAAGTATATAGATTATTTGTAACTTTGAACAAATAATCTATATAAAAAATAATTTAATGATGGAATATATATGTACAATACCATTAAATAAGATACTGACATTTATTATAAAATATTTACATTTTCAATGTCTTTATCTGTTCAAGTTCATTAAATAAGATACTGACATTTATTATAAAATATTTACATTTTCAATGTCTTTATCTGTTCATTAGTTTTGAACAGATAAAGACATTGAAAATGTAAATATTTTATAATAAATGTCAGTATCTTATTTAATGGTACTGTACATATATATTCCACCATTAAATTACTTTTGTGATTACCAGTTATGTGTTACTCAATAAATATAATTTTTTTTCAATAATTAAGTATCACATCACCATATCAGATAACAATTCCCTAATAACGGTCTGAATTGTCATATATATATCTATCATATATCAAATAAATGCTGTTCTAGTGTCAACCGGCCAGGCTATTACATTCCCAGATGACTGAGATTTGTATTGGAAATTCATCTGAAAATTCATACTTTTTATTTCTAAGGTCATACAGTTATTGTTTGAGAAGACCAAGTCTTTATTGATGATCTGAACCATCATATGTGATTGAAACCAGCCCCCCCCCCTAAATATAGCACACATATATATTGATTTTTTTCTTCATTTCTTTTGCAAGTAATCCAAACTGTGTTTATGGAAAAATTGAAATCTGAATATTTAGCTCTTTATTTATGCTATACTAACATCAAATAAACACATTCAAACAGTGATCGAAATACCAATTGATTGTAGCATACACAACTGAAAATATATTTGCATTAACTACTGCAAACAATAACAAACTGAAAAGAGAATCTCAATGAATTAGAAAGAGAATAAAAGACTTTTAATCAATATAAATAGTTAAAATACCCTTGTTAATAATACAGCCAGCAAACTTCTTCAAAACTGATAAAACATAATACACCTACCAACATATCATCTACCATTGTTGACAGTTCACGAACAAAAGCCTCGTGTTTATTTACTTTTGTCTCCTCTCTGTTCTTTCTTTCATAAAAAGAGTAGACATTTTTCTCTGGTGCAAATGAAACCGCCATGATTCTCAATAACACTTTAATTAATTAAAGTCACTCATACAAGTCAAATCAAGGATTCCACAAACTAAGACATCCTATCTGTTGACGGTCTGGCGTGCCGGGCATGGCAACATTGAAAACTCCCAGCTTTAATGTGCATTAGACCAATGAGGCGAATCAAAGGGGCATATTCCAAACACAAACATTATTATATAAGTAAAGCTATTTATACTGTTAACAGTTGCTGCCTCTATGACACATACTATACAAAGTGATATCTGAGGAGGATTTGTGAATAACTTCCGTGAAGTAAACAGATAATCAATATATAAACAAATAAGAAAGACTCTAATAATATTCAATATCTAGCTTTTTGACCAACATGATGTATTTAGAATCTGAACTCATTAAATCTCCTTCACACCTTTACAAACCAAAGAGAACTTCATATATACAAAGACTACTGTTATAATGTCATTGTATTTAAATGAGATTAGTTTCGTCAAATTCTAAACTTTTTACAATAAGTTTTTGTTATCAAGAATATGTTTTATGGCATGAAGATTAAAACGTTGGATTCTGAAGACATTTAATCACCTAAGGCCCAGGTTATTCAGACCACATACAAAAAATATATATGTGTTTTCAGGTGGAACAACATTTGCTTGTGCAAGGGGTTTAAAAAGAAATGTCTTTTATATCATGAGATCTAGAGTGATGATTATCATTCAAAATTTTGAAAATGGGTTACCTTTAAATTGTCTATTTAGAAAGAATTCAAGCCATTCTAAATAGAATTTTTAGGAGAAACACCCAACTGCTGGTCATGTCTCGACATGAGTATTACACCCGCTCTGGATAATTAAATGTCAACGAGAAGTGAAGTATAAAAAGAACAAAATTAAAAACCGTATCAAACTAAATGCAACTTGAAAACATGCCAGACGAAAGTGAATCTTAGACAGAGTGAATTCGACCTAAATCTTACCTTTGTCATGCTCAGTCTCTCGAGCTCAAGAACGAGGTTTTTGGAAAGAAAATCTCGCCTTGGATTCTTACTTTCGACTACTTGATACATAATAGCGAGAGTTGTCAATCAATAAAGGAATAATCACCGGCGATTACGATAAAACCTTTGTATTGGACAAACGGAAGCGCACCTGGTCGTTTACGTTGTTGTTATGGCGACTCATGAGAACGCATCTAGAGTTATCTCCCGTAGGCCTACTTGTATCTTGCTGACATTTTGGCGCTATCTTTCCTCAACGTACTGAGAGGATAATACTGACATTATAAAGAAGCATGGAATAGGCATTTATAGTTTAGAATTCGGGGACTGAGGGGTTTGATCTTTTTTTCCCCACACAATAATCTTCAATGTTCAAATAAATGTTCATTTGAATGGCAAATACCCCCCCCCCCCCCGCCCCATTTTTTTGTTGAAGTATGACCAAAACATAAATAGTATCCAAATATTTTCAAAAATCTGGTAAAAAAAAAAAGATGTAACCAGCACTTGCGACAGTGCCTGGCCATAAGCCCATAAGTGGCAAATCATAAGTTGTTAATATATAAAATGTTTATTATCGAATTAATTTCATTGAAAATTAACATTTTCAAACGAATGCAGCGGTATCGGAAAAAAATCATTAAAGGAACAGATCCACGGGTCTCTGATTCTCAAACTTATTGTTACGGATCCAGGAATCTGGAAAGTGGGTTGGGGGGGGGGTCGGGGTAAGGGTCTTTATAGCCACACAAAAAATGATTTATTATAAATTTTATAATGTATATTTGGGACACTACGAAAGCCGGATAGGCTCATTTCTGAGAAGATGTAAAAAAAATTAACTCGTTATAACGAGTTAATTATCTCGTTATAACGAGTTAGTATCTCGTTATAACGAGTTAATTATCTCGTTATAACGAGTTAAAAACTCTAAAGTTGATATATGTAAGTAATAGGAAGTATTGCATATAAAATCGAGTCGATCAAGTTTGTTTAAAGTGTGTATGATAAATATTTCATTGAAAAACAGCAAACTAGTTTTGTTTTGTTTTTTTCGAGGGGTTGTGTCTGTGATTGTAGTTCGTTTAATTATAAACGATGCAGTTGATTTGTATTGTTTTACTAAAAAAAAAAAAAAAAACAAAGACAAATACGTGTACGTGTATACGGAACCTTATGACTGCCTCGTGATATTGTGTTATGAGTGGACAGTAGCCCCCGAATTTTACGCGGGCCCAAGACGTAATTGCTGATGTCTCCATACCCCCCTTCTTCAAAACATTTCTGACTCTAAAAATAATATATATCACACTGTAAGTGTATATAAGATATGTTGCGTAACTAACGCCTGCCTTAGCTTGCCATTATAATGCATTAATTAAGAAATTAGACATTGATTATGGAATCTATAAGGTCATCCAAAAGTTAAACATATATAAAAAAAATAGTGTGTTTTATCGGAGAAAGTTGTTATACTTAAATTGCAAAACTTTGAAGCAAGTACATTTGGCCATATATTTTTAATAGTGTGTACTTAGAGACGTTCACGTATAAATGTGTAAATGTGTTCGATTAAAAGATTGCTATTTTCATCAAATTGTGATTATTGACGGCAAGATACTTGTAGTTCAAACAGGATTAATATTATTAAAACCATATTGCAAATTATATTTGCATCTCTTTATCAATTTTAAAGTTAAATACGACTGATAATTATCAACTAAACTTCAATGGCATTAAAACAACAGCCATTTTTAATTCCTATATTGCTATTATTTGGAAATAAAAGGGCAACTTATTATTTCGTTATAGCGAGACAATTATCTCGTTATAACGAGAAATCTAATTCGTTTTAACGAGATAACTAACTCGTTATAACGAGAAAACTAAGTCGTTATAACGAGATCATTAACTCGTTATAACGAGATAATTATTTCGTTATAACGAGATAATTAGCTCGTTATAACGAGATCATTAACTCGTTATAACGAGATAATTAATTAGTTATAAGGAGATAACTAACTCGTTATAACGAGATAACTAACTCGTTATAACGAGATAATTAATTCGTTATAACGAGATAACTAACTCGTTATAACGAGATCATTAACTCGTTATAACGAGATAATTAATTCGTTATAACGAGATACTAACTCGTTATAACGAGATAAGTAATTCGTAATAACGAGATAAAACTAAGTCGTTATAACGACATAATTAACTCGTTATAACGAGATAATTAACTCGTTATAACGAGATACTAAGTCGTTATAACGAGATAACTAAGTCGTTATAACGAGATAATTAACTCGTTATAACGAGTAAAATATTTTTTAATCTTTTCAGAAATGAGCCTATCCGGCTTTCGTAGGGACACAAAGGCCCAGATAGCAAGCTTACGTTGGCCCAATGTTGGGCCACCGTTGTAAGTTACGTTGGTCCAATGTCGGAAAATGATATTGGGCCAATGTAATTTTGCTCAAAGATCAAATACTTCAAGGTTTTTTAAACTTCTCAAAAAGGTCTAATTAAAAGTAGAAATTTTTATCCCGAAAAAACATTTTTAGATACCAATGTTTATTAACATTATATGAAATGAGAAGTAATTTATGGAGCTTTGCAAAGAACCTTGAAGCACATTGAGAGGCATATAATGAAAATTGTTGCATATGAAAATATTTAATTTTCAAGCTTCATTTAAAGACTTTTTGAATTAAATTATAAATTAAAGAATTGTCCTTCCTGGCTGAGGGTCGGAGTAGTCCCTTAGAAGACTTTCCGTTTTTGTGGTGATAAGTATCATTGAACGATTCTCATTTCATATGCCAAATAGTCTCCATTGCAATTGAATAAGGCCATAAAAATTAATTTCGAATCTTGGTTCTCAGGCCCTCCCTCATTTCTTACAAGGGTGCCTCATTGACCCTTTTTATTGCTAAATCAATAATAATAAAACAAAAATCACCTCCCTCATCATTTTTTGAGGTTTTGTACAATGTAAAAAGCTGTCTCATCATGTTTTGGGGGCAATAAATAGAGTTTTAAAAATGCCTCCCTCCCTCATCATATTTCTTGAAAAAAAGCCTGAGAACCAAGCAATTAACTTCGCATGACCAAAAATATACTCTCTTTTTTTTTTTTTTTGAATTCGTACGAGTGAAAATCATCATTTGTGCAAATTACATGTATGTCCCCTTTTCCATGGCGCATCCTTTATACTAGATATAGGAAAAATTACGCAAAAGTTTTGTCCATATTCCTATGAAAGAAAGTCCAATTGTGTACAGCCAAAACTCTTTAAAAGATACTTTATACGATAAATAAACAATAAAATATGCATGAAAAATGCTATTCAATCTGTTACCGTATTTAAAGTAAAGGGTGAGGGGGTCTGGGAAAGCGAACTTCAAGACTGAAAAATTTTAATTTGTGTCGCTTTCTTTGAATTCTTTCTTCAAAGTATCCCATGTTGCAAAATCTTAAAATACCATCAACTAATGAATTCAGATCATGCCAACATTTTGTTGTTGTTGACAATTCGTGTAGTGTCGTTTATCATGTCTTTTCCAGCTCCATGCTGTGTCTCATTGGAAGATGAGAAATTTGAAATGTCCAATATTACGATTCAGCCTCTTAGACAGTAAATTATGAAGAGGATAAATATACAAATGTGAAAAACAGGCATATAAATTGTAGGAACTTTAACATAAATTTTCATAATTTTATTCCATCACAGTGCAAATAGAAACATCTACACCTTTTTGTACTACGTACATCACTGTAGTATGTTATTGTTACACAGAGATAAAAAGCTATACTTTGACAAAGGATGAAAAAAAACTAATACTAGAATATTTCCCACATTGTTCTAAAATCTACTGAAAAGAAAAATCTACTTTCTTATGGAAAGAAAAAAGTTAAAGTATATTTGGATGACTAATTTGAAAAAAAATATATATAAAATTTAAAAAAAAAAAAACATATTTGGGAGAGAAGAGAAAGTAATCATTAGATCTTTTTTCTAATATTCACATGATGAAAACATAAACATTTACATCTAACAGATAACATATAAAAGTGTTGTATAAACATTGTTACAACAATTATCACAGGCAACATGTGCAGCTTCTGCAACATTTAATTTGCATACAGATACAGTTTTCATGTACCACCAATACTTGTAAAAAATGCAGAACATTATGCATAAAAACATTGAATATCTGGTATATATATAGGACTTTCAAAAGTTCCTCAAAGGTGAGCTCTTGGGTAAACATAATACTGATCAAGTTGTGAAAGCGACTAGTCTGTACATATCTACAAAGCATGCTTACATGTACATGTATTCAAAATATACCCTACAAATAATTTCTACATAAATTATATGTTTTATAATAAATTCAAAAAAAGTTTCAAAATAAAAATTTATTCTACAAATAAGCACAACTCCTGGATGAATTCTTCCTACTTTTGATTTGGGAGATTTTTTTCTTGTTCAAAGTTTTGTGCACTCAAATTTTATCCATAATTATTTTTGTTAAACTTTAAACTTAAAAGAGAATGATGGGGCTTTTAGGCGATAAAATTTCTCTTTTGATCATCCTTGAATACCAAAAACAAATATAAAATGGATATTGATTGATAAACCACAATTCTCACTAAAATGATTGATGATGAAGACGTGCAATTATTTCAACATTCAAGACATACCTTTCAAGTTTTCAATCTCATTCCACACAAAAGTATCATTTGAAAAAATATCCTAGAAAGCAAGGACAATTTGAATACAATACTTGAGCCATTATCCTTGTTTCTAATACAAGTGATTGATTCAAAAGTCTGGATCACCACAACATTTTGTTAATACACTAATCTGCAGTACTAATGTATATATATCATAGCGAAAGCCCATGCTATAAAAACATACATACATATATATACATGTAGCCCATGCATGTATAGAATATTTGGTAAACAAGGTCACTATGGGATGCAGTACTACTTATTAAGGTCTGACCTCTTCATCGGGGTTGGAGTTCACAGTCAAACTGGATGCAATGCTAGCTTTATCATCGTACACATTCAGTTCATCCTCATCCTTGTTACTCCTGGCAGGACTAGGACTTCTGCTGGGAGTCCTACTCCTAGGACTTCTGGGACTCTCACTACGGGATCGCCTGCTCCTACTCCCCCTGCTGCTCCTGCTGCTTCTGCTGCTAGCGCTGCTGTGCCTGCTACTTCTGCTGCTCCTGGAAGAAGAACTTCTGCTGCTGTGTCTGCTGCGGTTTCTCACCAAGTCATCAAAACTCTCCTGTCTGTTGGGATCAGAGGCTCGGCGTAAGTCTTCTGCCTGCTCGATGTACTTCTCTCCTCTTTTAATTTCTTTTTCCAGTAGCAGTATGTCTTGTTCTCTGACTGGACAGCCAGCATTGTCTAGGGCTTTCATTAATTTTAGTTTGTTGTCTTCAAATGATACAGGTTCCACTGAATCAAATCTGAAAAGAGTTTAACAATACTTAATATTTCATCTAAGGATCACCAAACAAAAGGATAAGTTAAAAAAAATTCTTCTTTTAAGAGACATCTGACAAGCATGTAAATATGTTTATGTATCACATTATTCAAAATCTCCCAAACTTACTCAGCTTTTGCAGATTCAGGCAATGCATTCCACACAATTCTATTCAATCTCCTATGAAATATAATAATATGTTTTGAAAAGATAAGCAAAATAATATTTGTGAGAAAAGGAGCAAAATTGTAACTATTATAAGGCTTAGCAAACAATTTTATTCTTGAAAAATGTTGATTGAAAACTTTGTACAGCATAATAATATAATTTAATTTTTATTAGGCAATGTATCAAATTAATTATGGAAACTTACGCTCTGTACTGGTCTACACATTTCCTCACTTTCTTTTTGTAGCCTTCTAGATCCACAGCAATAGGATTGACCAAAGTTATCTGTTGTTTTGACCTGCTAGACACATGGGCTACAGGCAATATCTATAGAAAGCATAAATTGATAATTTATCTCATGAAGGATATTTATTTGCAATAATTATTATATAATCATGACAGACTTTTACTTGTATTCAATATGATAAATAATCATTGGAATTTAAAAGTTTAAGATTTTTTTCAATATCAAAGAGTACTAAAGCAATTAACATTACTTCATCAAAGACTTTGGCCACAACATGTTTATCCAGAATGGGTACGTATTTGGTTTTGTGGGGGACCATTGTTGGTGACAGGGCGTCAAGTATGGTCAGTTTCTTGGCCACAAGTCCATTTTTACTCAGCCACATCTTGGATGACATTTCCTTGGACCTTAAGTGAGCAAGATTCAATGAAAGACAAATTAGAAATTATCTCTGTTATATCTTTAACTAAAAATTAAAAATGTTTTGCTTTAAACCCGAGTTCTTAAGTGAAAATTCTCTGATAACAGTTATAATTTATAATATTTGTGCTAACTCAAATAATTTTCCACAAATTTTTTTATTAATAAAAATAAAATTTAGAAAAAATATAAATCAATACCTAATAACTCTCTTAACCTTTTGTCGTTTAGTCTGATCTTTTTCTGCCTCTACAATAGAAAAGGGAGACAATTCAGAAGAATGCAAACATCTACAAAAGTTTTACATCCAGACCAAAGGAATTTGAAATGTTTATAATACATACAAATATACATGAGAAGTTTAGCTAAGTTTAGTTAAATTTAAGAGTGTAAATTAGCCTAATTTGACCCTATTTCCCTAAATACACTGTATTCTAGCTTTCTAGTCTCCTAAAACATACCGGTAGTTCACATAAATAAGCATCTTTTATAACCCCCTCCAATCCACCCCACCCCACCCCCAAATAACATGGCTGATTACCTAAGTTTAACTTTTTTCACATAATCATCAGTAGATTTTCCATGACAGAAATATTTATTAACTAAACATTCTTATATTACTGAGATTCTTTTACATGTTAACTTTTTTTTTAACATTAAAAAACTTGTACATGTGCTTTAAACATTCATAGAATTAACAATGTTGAACTGAACTTTAAAATTAATTATTAGCAGAGTTAATACACTCAATCACCACAGTTCATTAATCTAAATCATAACTGAGTTAATGAAACATAATAATTAATGTTCTCAAAATGTGTTATATTTGTTATAGAAAACTGAAACATATTACGGTACAACAATCATTAACTGAATGATTAACACAGAACTGTTCACAAATCATTTTAAATTTCTTAGTACTAAAGTCATAATCTAATTTTATATTCTGTAAATACATTTTACTTCAAAAGTTTCAATTTAAAGTCTTTTTATTTGTATATTTGATATATACCAGGGTACATGTTTTGTCAGCAAAGCTGTAAGTGCTTGCCAAAAATGCAATAATGTTGATACATTATGCCTGAATACATGTGTTGAATTTGAATAGCACAATACAGGCGTTCTTATTTGCTTAAAAAATAATTTATTTAATAAACATAATAAATATATCATGTATGGGATGGGAGTGAAAAGCTTAATTATAAAATTTGTGTGGATGCATTTAGGCTTTCTTACTAACTTCTCTTAATCAATAAATCGCTTGAACTTGATTTTTCCCCCAAATAAAACAGTAACATACAAATGCTTTGGAGGTTAAATGATTTTTCAATAACTAGTTGGTTAAAGCAGATTACAAACAGAATGGTTGTTATATACCATTGGGATCCACCACGTAGGGGGACATATTGAATCTCTGTAAAACTGAAGCAAAAAGCATTCATGTTATAAAATACCAGAAACAAAGAGGTAAATGACATGTATCTAGAGTACACTAACATACAACAGAATTCTGAACTGGTCTTCAACTAAGGGAGAGAATTTAAATATACCAGGTATGCGCTTCACTTTGCAAGTCGTACTCATTTGAGATTTAAGATGCACATCCACCTAAAAGGATGAGTTGAAGTTTTGACTGATTATATTCCAACTACTTTTGTTCAGACATATACATCAATCATGCTTTACAATGTAAAGAATTAAAATCCATAAAGAGTGATTTCTCATCTTCATTAACTCTGAAAGTCATAAATGATAAAAAAAGATAGGGTTAACTTTTGCAGAACTTAAAGCAGAGATGATCAAAGCATCAAGCAAGCATTATTTTCATAGAAATGTATTTTTTTAAATCTGAAAAGTCATGAGAGAAGAGGAGTAGAAATCATGTAATTCAGACACCAGTTGCCCAAGCATATTCGAAGAAAGATCCATGAGACTAATTTTAATTGTAAAAATGTCTATCAGGTATTTAGGTAGCATTGTGGTTAGAATGAATTTTACTAAGGTCAAGTGTTCTTAAGGTGTAATCGCATGATCTTTTAAAGATATCACTAAAGAAAGAACTTTCATTTCTATTTATATATTTAATCCCCGCAATGTCAGATTAATTGAAACCATGTATTCAGGTCTATAGCTATATCAACAACTAGTCAATATGCAGTATAAATGCTACTTGAAATTGAGGGTTTTATATTAAAATTTTAACACACCCTCCCCAAGAAAACAAGATTGAGGTGCATCAGACTCTGGGATTTGTTCCTACAGAGAGGTGAAAATTTTCAATATTACCTTTAACAACTGTTTTTCAAAACAAATAAATTTCAACCAATTGTACACGAAAGTACATTAGGCATTTTTCCGTATTCTTTCATTGAACTTATTTGTTTGATTCATAGTATTGCACAAATATTACCAGTACATGTAAACTTGTGACATATATATGAATGCACTGACATTATGAGGATCAACATTTCCCATAGAATTCAAAAAGAATCATGAAATGAATATCTACATAAATATTATACCTATGGCCAATTGTCTTTGTTTCTCAGCTTGCTTTTCAAACAAGGCTCTGGTTTCTGGCAAAAGCCATTCGTTGGGTGAAAAACGTCCACTGCTGTTCAAAGTGCGTAGCATGCTGGTTTTAGTGTGACCTAACATAATTAAATAAATATAATCAATTCAAAATAAAGGCTCAAACAAAATGGAATTAAAATTGTGATAAAAAGTGTTTAAATAATTTCCTTTTCATACAGGTACATGCATGCACACAATACATGTAAAAAGTATTATACAGTAAGCATAATGTCCTAAATTGCTGTCCCAGGTACTATGTCATGTGATATAATTTTAATATTTAACACATGCATACAAATGTAAAATGGAACATGCCTTATGACATTAATGTAAAAGGAGTGTGTGTATGTATTTTCATCTCTTATAACAAAATCTTGCAAAATTGTACACAATTTTTATGAATTATTTAGGATCATTTTACTGCATGTAAAAGTGTGCGTCAGACTCAGAGGTTTCCATCTCATAATCAGAAATTGTATTTAGCTTTCTGTTATAAATTGTATCACTGCATACTACATATACATGTGTTATTTTACATTAAACTTTTTTCTCAGACTCCAGCTTCACCCCATCTTCGCTAGCCCATGCTTTTCGGTCGGACTCCACACCGGAACCCTTGGTTAGCGGAGATGACTTCATCCAATTTAACAAATTTAAAATCAATTAAAAAAAAATCATTCTGAGGCATTTCACTCTGGTTAATATTGTTTTCAAACACACCACATGCAGAAATGACTTTTAAAACACATGCAATATAAATTTTTCACTGTTTGATTACGTTTTAATACTGGTAAAATCACAAGAAAATGTTAAAACTAAGCTGTGAGTTACAAAAGCTTTGTTCTAAAACTGGAAAGGGAGTAAAATGTATGAACAAATATATAAATACAGAATGGTTACATAAGTGTATGACATACCAATATGACGGTTCATTTTTCTTTTATAAACTGTGAATTTGAAAATAACTCTTACATATCTGGCTGTGAGTAAATTTAACTTTGAATGCAAATTTGATATCACAAAATTTTGAAAGAACATATGCAAGTATAAATATTGAAATTTAGTGCGATTTAAATTTCCATTAACCTTCTTGTTCTGAAATATTACTGAATTAGGCAGATAACAGAAGTTATGACAGTGCAAGCATTGAGCAGCTGATACCTGATCTTAAATGTCTTATAGACAGCTGATTTTCATCTGCACAAAATGTTATCAGCATTACTTTCAACATTACTAAATAAGGTGACGTTACCAGAATGACTTATATTTTCTATTTTAGATGATGAAATACTCTAAAACTAATAATTTAAAGTTGCTGATTTTTTTTGTACAGGAGAGTAAAAATGAACTTTACAATTTAAAGAAAAAGGTGAAAAAAGTTTGCAGGTGAAATAATTTGTAAAGGTACACAAATTTAATGTATAATAATCAGTGCACATACTTTTAGCAGTGAAATTAACATATATGAAGAGAACAAACCATATACAGGTTTATAGACTCACTGGCACTGAGAGCATTTCTGGAGGATGCTGACTTGGAACTCTGGGGTCTAGCAGACCGGACTCTGGCAGTCTGTGGTCGCCCAGAGGAGGGGGTAGGGTGAAGATCTGAGGGCTCTGAATGTCTAGCAGTTTTAGGAGGAGTAGGAGTGTGCCTGAGGGACTGGACCGGAGGGGCACTCTTTGGTCTGGGGGGAGGAGAGGGGGATCTGTACAGGTCTTTGGTGTCCAGTGGAGGGACTGCTGAGTTTCTGTCAGTGTTGGATAGCACATGATCTCTGTCAATGTAACAATATCACATTTCTTTAACTTCAGAATTTATAATATAAAACTGCTGTGGAATATGTCATTGGAATATGTCATTATATACTCAATCAAATGATTTAAATGAATTTTTATTTCTATATTTATCAAGATACATGTATATATAAAAGAGGTGTGTTTTTATACGAGAAGACAGTATTTCAGTACCTGCTGCATTTTTTCATCTCGGATACTTCCTTTTTGTAAGACAGATTGGAACATTCATCTCTCAGTTCCTCCACCTTGTCTAAGGCCTCTAGTCCTCTCTGGATCTCCTCTTTGATATGGCGGATATCTTCACTCTGTAAGATTTACATTATTGATCAACACTTTTTATCAACTGAAGACTATATATTATTTATTCTTTAATCTTTATGATAAATGCAATATACAAGTGATTACCATCAGTGAGAGAATATGCAGAGCTTATTACATGTATCAACCATGCACAAGTGTTTCTTAAAATGAAAAACTTGGTTAATACCTATTTAAAGATTTTAAGGGAAATAACTCTGACAATTTATACATCTTCATTCTCAAAGTCTACCAATACATAGTTGCTGGATTACCTCCCATGACTCTGGCTGGTCTGGGTCCTTGCCTTTCTCTGAGAAGTAATGATAACGTCCTCCTGTGGCTTTAGCAAGGTCAAACAAGAACTCATTTGCCTCTTTATCATTACAGTTAAAGGATATAGCATGGACAGGAACAGAGTGATGCATCTGAACTTGAGCAATGATGGATTTAGGTGGCTATAACAGAAGATAGGCATGCATTAATGAATCAGACCTGTATGCAAAATATTCAGTGCAATTTTCAGTGTGGATATGAATAAATTTCTCCAATAACATCAACATTTTTTACAGTTGAATGAAGCTTATATTTTCAGAAAATGACTTCAACAATACCTGGTCTGGCCTTCCGTCAGTGAGCAGGTATATAGCCTGAGTGCCAGGGTCAGACAAAGCATGCTGTAGAGCAGCATAAGTATTAGTGGAACCCCAGCATGACAAACCCTGGATCCACTTCCATGCTCCCTTAAGACTCAGCTCTGATATATCCACCAAGCGATTCTGCCAGGCCGTGGCTTTAGAGTTGTAGGAAATCAGATTAAACTTCTTCTTGTGTCGTATTTGTTCCTATAGAGAGATGATTGATAGGTAAACTGTTTGTATCAGTACAAAAGATTGTATTAGTATAATAATTTATCATTACCGTATATACTCGCCTATAAGTCGGTATTTTGGGAGTTAATCTCTGGTCCAAAACTCTGTGTCCGACTTATAGGCGAGCTATAAAAAGAATGGATTTATATGCGGTCAGTCCATCTGAAATATAAGCTTATTAAATACAACCGTCTTACAGGCGAGTATATATGGTATATACCCCCTTATAACTATCTAATTATAACAGAGTTAAACTTTAAAGATCAATTGTAATATATTTATCCATAAAACAAAGCCTTTTAATGCGCAAGAAAAAAATGTCATGTTTCTGTGTACTACACTGTACGTCATCAGTTTCAGAGAGTGGTGATATGGATTGAGAAAACCACAGTGTGGTGATCCAGAAAGATTTGGATCACGGCATCACGTGATTGCGTAAAATCAACAGTAAAATTGAGTGATACACATCAGGTACAGTATATAAAAAATGTACCTACAAAAGGTTTATATTATATATTTCAGGCTACTTTACATGACACAACTTTTCTAGCACACATGCTGTAACGATGAATGTAAGTATACAAGTATCAGAACCACATTTTTAAGGGGCATATTATTTTTAGAATCTTCTATTTACCTGCATAAGAAGGAAGAGTTTATCCTTGAGATATTGAATGCTGGGTAACATGGATGCCGAGGTGTCTATAAGGATATAAATCTGATCTTCTATCACAGTTCCAAACAGAGCTCTGCTTCCCTTGTTCAGCCAGTCAATTCTACAGGAAAATGGAGGAATATACAGCTTAACAGTGCAGTATACATGTACTTGTGTTCAATACCTGGACATCCAGGGGGCACAAAATATTATCATACCCAATTAAATGATAAAGCCAGTGAAAATTATCAAAATATTCACTCTGTTATTATGTACCTTTGATGAAAAGAGTTTAGGGCAACAGTCATCCTTCTTTCATATTCTCTGTGAAGTTCTGGTGTGACTTGAACATGAACCACTCTGCCATCTTTCCACTTTACAATGGGGAATCTATCACAGTATCTAGCATTCACTAGCTTGGTATGTTTTATCTGTAAAATTGATACAACTGTACAATATTCATCAGTACATAAAATTACATATACTTCAGATAAATAGGTCATTTAATTCTTTTTAAATATCCAATATGTTATAACTTTATTTTCAGATAATTTTTTTTAGTGAAAAGACATGTCTTTCATCAATTTAAATGCAAAATCAAAAATCATATCTTATATTGAAGATAATTTTATTTGGGTATAAATTTGAATTGAAGATTTATGAATTCTAAATCCTACCATCATGTGTCACATGTTCATTTTTTTAAAATTCAAATTAATAAAAATTTTGTAAAGTTCATTGTACATTTTTATAAAATAACTTACAGCATCAGTTTGAGTATTTTCCCCTGGTTTCATATTGATATCCACAGCTCCATCCTGGTGTTTGAAAGCTACAGATGCCAACACATCAAACAGTTCCAGTCTCCGAGCACTCAGTCCATACCTCTTCAGCCATTCTTTTGTTCCCATATATTGTTCTTCAACATTTTCGCAGTCCCACTTACTGATTTTGGACTCTAAAACATAAAAGTTAATGCAGTACCTTCATTGCCTAAATGTATTTGGAGAATTTTACGGAAAATTGGTCTAGGCATGCTATACATAATTAATAGTTCTTGCTGAACTTAAATTACAAATTGGGCACTTTGTCTAAATAAGGTACTGTATGTGTACTTTAAAAAGCGGGCTTCATATTTTAGTGGCTTTGGCATGGATAAGAATGCGCTAATTAAAGAATATACTGCTAAGAAATCATTCACTAATTAATACAAGGCACGGAAAGAAGTCAAGCCACGAAATACCAAATTCGGCCTAGTCACCAAAATAAATGAAACTTTCTCAAATAAAACTCAAAGATTTGTAGGTAATTCATGAATATGCCAACAACTCCATACCCCTTGATTGCACTAAATTTTGAATACGCTTATTTATGTACACGTACAGTATTTCATCTTGTCCGTTGTATTGGACGTTGATACATTTTTGTTATAATTATATCTAATGCCTCCATGCTTACACACCATGATACACTTTTGAGAAAAAATGGTAAATATATGTTTACTTTACACATTGCATTTAATTAAAAATCTTTAGATATGACAGACACTGTTATAATCTTCCTTGCCTAGGTGCTAATTAAACTTCAGACAAATACACTTCTAAGAATAATTATATGGAATTGCCATTAGAGAACAATATTGAAAGATGTGCATCTACTACCATGTGATGTATGTAAAATTTGTACAGTGATCGACATTTCAAATACTGAATAACATGAAAGGCTGGATGGTGCAAAATATTTCTACATTATGTACTATAAAACTTTTTAAAAATTTTTTACTTCAGAACTGTCTCATAATTCATGCAAAAAAGAATCTGAAAATATATTTTTCATGCAAACAACAGAAAAGGCAGAAGATGGTGTGAAGTTTGCGAATTTTACATGTGTAACAACCTCTTTCGATTTTTTCTCGAGGTACATATGACCTCGCATTCCAAGGTCCTGTAAATTTTTAAGGATATATATGTTTAATTAAACTTTTATACACAAACAAATCAAATAATCACAAAGAATTATGAAGTCTATTGTTTTATGCAAACAAATGACGATCATGCAATCTCATATGATATAATATTTTGGGGGTTTTTTTTAACATCTTATTCATCAATTCCAAGTCAAAATGATAACTTTCAAAATAAATGATGTCCACTGAAACATGGCTGAAATATTGCCAACTCAGCGTTAAACAACAAACAATCAAAATAAATAACAAACTTTTAGCATTCAGTTCATAAAGATGCAATCCATGTATATTTAGAAAAAATAATCACTATGCATATGAAACAAAAATGGAATGAAAATTAAATTGTCTTCAAATTGACTTGCATTCACTTCATTTTAAAAACATGCTAGTTATGTGCATGACCAAATGCAAACCCTGAAATTTTTCTTCTAATTAAAGTATAAAAAATTGGATTCAGCACTCATCATATGTACAAAAAAAATTTCCAATGCAGAATTAATTGTTCTTATACTCAGTACTTTAATTTGATTTGAATCTTGACAACACAAGTCTATGAAAGATTTTTACCAATTTGAATCTTTGGCTCAGGGACAGTTTCTGTGAGGGCTTGTATCTGTGAACGGACATTTCTGGCCTCCTCCAATTCCTCAAAAATCAGCATCACATCCTCCCTCATCCCTGCCCCAGGAGGAACACCCCCAAAAGTTTTCTTCTTCAGCACAATGTTGGCTTTATTTGTTTTAGGATCTAAAGGCTGTCCTTCATATGCATCCATTTCCATGATGACTGCATATGCATGGAATCTGAAAGGACATCAATCAAATGCAAAATCTAAAATGCAGGAACTTGAGATACATGATTCATATATTTTTTCAAATGTTTCTTTTTCATCTGGAGATTAGGTCTGAATTTCATTGCATACTTTGATCCAATTCCTCTGGCAAATTCCCGCAGAAACCTAACAATATCTGAGGATTCACAATTATAGGACACCAGATGTAGAGGAATCTTCCTTGGACAAGCTTGCACCTGTAAAAGAAAAATGCATTCCTCATTCATATAGACCCATAATTTCATGCACAAAATATGTTTGCTTCATTGCAACCTTCTGTTGGTATTTGTTTTCGTTAACGCTAAAGTTATAAATGTTACAATCTGGACAACCATCCATAATATATGAAGTTTGCATCCCTTACCTTTTCTTTTAATATTTCCTTGCAGGAGTCAATGGAATTGCCCTCTGTGAACAAATATACTGCTTCATTCTATAATAAAAAATACAAATTAAGTCAAATGGTACTTAATATCATCATCGAATTTTTTTTAAAGAAAACCATGGTTCACTACATGAAATGGCAACCTACATGTTGATCCATCATGGCTTTAAGCACGGCCTCGGCAGTGGCTGTTTTGGATACGGAGGCGAGTCTGTCCAAGTCCCACAACCAATCAACAGCCCCCTGTATTGTATCATGGGTCACAGGGACACATTCTGGATGATACAACTGCATATCATCTGCTGACCTACAATAAAAGGTGTCTTTCTCTTTTTAAGGATAAAAAATCATAAAAATGTTGAAAATAAGCAAATGACAGATGAAAACAACTGTTGGGTGCAATTATAAATAAATACATTACTTAAGTTAAGAATATCTTTCATGTGAAGTGGTAAATTTCCCATTTTAAAAAGTGAGTTATCTCCCCTCAAAATCGGAACTCTTTTACACTAGCATAACTTCCGCGGACTACACGTTACCATAATCCAACAAAATAGTGATCAACTTACATGCTGCATTAAAAATTTTAAAAGAAGGAAACGGTTTGCAATTTTTTTTCTAGATAATAAGCGATTTTATAAAGGGTTTGTTGCCCCCCCCTTTCTAGAGAGCCATACGAATTAGCCAGGCACGTAGCATCGACTTTAAAAGTGTGTTGGGGGGGGGGGGGCCAAAAAAATATGTTTTTTCTTACCTGGAAAAGTTGACAAGCAAAGAAAAACTTTGCCCAAAGTCGAAAAGCTACTTATTTCAGTACCAGTTCCTTGGCATACAATACTACATTTCCCTTATATAACTTTACCGTAGTATAAACTGTGTGTGTGTTGAGGGGAGGGGGGGCAACCTGTCTTTCAATGAACATTTTCAATAGAAAAAGTAAAACATGAAAAACACTTGAGAAAAGAATGTTTTCCGTTAATTAACTAGAAAAACGCTAGGAAATTATTGTATCAATTTCGTGTTTCTGCTGTCAATTCTCTAATCTAAAACAAAATGTGTATTTTACTCGGGAATATGCATGTACATATGCTTAGATCCTGCACTAAAACTGTGATTAAATGCAGCTCAGACTTTATACGACATATGTAACACGAATTCAGGTCGATGCTATTTTAATTAGTCTTTCTTCGTTACATGAGCACATGAGATTAAATTATTCATTTAGAATTCCATTCAAAGTTTTAATACTATACATGCAGTGAATCAATTATTTTACAAATAAAAAATTCTGGAAACACGGTTAATTCAAATGAAATAGGCCTTTAATTGTCACCAAATGTGTTCTTGTAAGTAAAAGTTCTATTTAGACGTACAATCGAGCAAAAACTCAGTTTCTTGGCATCGGTCGCGGAAGACGAACTACTGTTGTGTATGCAGCAATTTCAGGGGTAAAACTGTAGATGGACATGTCATCAGTCTCCAAAAATTTCCTAGAGATGCAGAGAAGAAAATATGGCTGCAGCAGGCTAGATTAATTCGTAAAAACTAAAAATTCTTATATTTGTTCTGCACATTTTGTAAATAATGATGATCCGTCTAAAGAACATCCAGTACCGAAAATCTGTTTTTTTTTTTTTTTTTTTTTTTTTTAAAAATAGGCCTATTCGAATATGCATCAGCATGTTATCAGTAATTTGTTTCTTTTCTTTTTCTTTTTTTTTAAGAGGGGGGGGGGGGGGGGGGGGGCTCACACAGCGCCTTATTATACAACAATACAGTTTAATACAAATCCAGAAAGAGACAATGAGTGGGCAATTTAAAAAAAATACAAATCAGTTAAGATTTCTTTTTATTCACAAACGCAATAACATTTTTCCATATGACAGAGGCTTTACACCATGAACATGTTTACATCAAGAACGTCCGCGGAAGTGACTTTATTTATAGCGCATGCGTATTAATCACAGTAAAAGAGTTCCCTTCAGGGGAAATAACTCACCTTTTGAAAATGGGGAATAATAAAAAACATAGTTCTCTCTTCCACGCATATTACCCACCTAATAAGATTAAACTTGGAAATTTGTGTTAATTGTTCATAAATGACAGTTTCTAGGGCTATTCTGTACTGGTCAAACTGCTGGGGAGACATATTGCGGATGTCTAGGACTATAGTGATGGCTTTCTCTTCTATGACTCCAAATAACCGTCTACTCTCTGTAGTCAGCCATTCCAGTCTCCTGTTAAATAAGTTGATGGCCTGGGTTAACCTTCCCTCTATCTGTTTTAACATTTCTCTTCCACATGTTATCTAAAAAAAATGGACATCTCAATTATTGATTACAAAATACATTCAGTCAGATTACTAAATAAACTATTATGTAATGTACCTAAGTGAGCTCATAAATTATACACAAACTGCATTTTTTGAAAGTGCTCCTAAACAATTTTCTAATTGTGACTTTAAATTTGCAAAAAAAATGACCTAGAGTGGCATGACTCATTATCTCAAGTTTCCTTTTTATAGAAAAAAAATCAACTATACATGTAGAGTTCCAAGGATTCTCCATTTCTGTTACATCTCAGCAATATAAACAAGGCGATTCCTATACCAACCCCCACACCCTCAAACTTTAGAAAATCAATAACTGTGAAATTCTGATTGTTTTTTAAGGTACTGCATTAAAGCAGTAAGAAATTAGACCTGCACGGTTTTATAAATGGGATTGATAATTTAGAAAACGTTCATCATTAGTATAACAAAAGTAATATAAGAAGCATAATTACATTGAATGTTTTCCCTTCTCCTGGATGAAACAATGTGCTGAATAGTCCTGTTCCATATCGTGATGAAATTGGTCTTTTGAGAACTCTGTCAAAATCTGAAGAATTCAACAGAAAGCATATATATATGATCCGAGTGGGAATTCATTATAAGTGTTTCCTGTTTTACTATAATAATTGTTTTTACTAATCTTTGTATTGTGGACACAATTTCATGAGTACCATTTTGATCATGAATTTATGAGCTAGTCTATAGAGAAGCTTGCTGAAACTCTTGACACCAAAATTATTGTCAGATATGTATAAACAAGACTGCGCCTTTTGAACTTTCCTTTTCATACTATCATAACTATGTATTGTGTTATTAGGAATTACTGTTCCTAAAAAATTAATTTGTTTGGGATAGTAATCCACTTCATGTTAAATCAAAATTTTATTCTGATATGGAACTTCAAAACATATTTCAAAAAATTATTTACAGTTTAATGTAAAATTTCAAGATGCACAATCAATCTTTTTTAAACTAGCCTCTACAATACTGTTAAGAAAAAAAAATCAATCTTCCTGATCTTTTTGAAATTGAATGACCCTTTTCATATACATGTACTACACAATTACATCTAATTAAAGTATCAATACAAATATTTGCATGGTTCTGGTAAATATTGAATGAAAGGTATTGTGTTTCCCCCAAAAAATCAATTCATTTGTTAGCTCAGACTATAGACTTGCAATTGGTGATGTGAAAATGCATTTGCTTTTTCCATCTATAGATGGAAACTTAAGATAGCCCAAATGAAAAGTCTGTAAATTTGAAATTGCAGCTATAACCCTGAATTTTTCATTAGCTTTATAGACACCTGAGTCAGGATTAAGACTTGACATTTATTGTCCTAAACATCTGCAGAACACTCCATGAATAAATGATAAGCTATTAAAATATGAATTATTGAACATATACCATCACTATGTTTGAATCCGATAACAGGTAAAATCTGGAAGAAGGTCAGGCGGTTTTTCTTCAGGCCGTAATTCTGCAGCCACTTCTTGGAGGAGATAAGGGATCGGACGTCCAGCTCCCAGTCCTTGGCCTGCGTCTTTTTGGCGCTGACCTCTGGGTTATAGCCATCCTCTGACGCACTGACCACCACATTCTCTATGGCAGGGGTTTTGTCCAGGTGACGGATGTCAAAGGTCACATCTATACAACATTAAAGTTTATAGATTAACAATTGTAATTTGTTCAATTTTCATGATTGTTCTCTCTGAAAAAGTAAGCAATTTCATAAATTATTTTTTGGGGGGGGGGGGGAATGGGGAATTAAACTTTAACATTGAAAAATACAGTCCAATCTTGTTATCTTGAATTGATGGGATTGGGTAAAAACTTCAAGATATCTGATGATTCAAGATATGTAGGGTAAAATGCTTAAAGAATAAGTGGTCGCATGGGGCTTTCAAATTACTTTGACATATCATGGCATGGTATTCAGGATATCGTTCGAGATACCGAAGTTCAACCATATATAGGAAAATTCTTCTCAAAAATCATTTTGACAAATAAACTGAAACTCAATCACAAGCTTCCTAAGGTAGACTAAGTGTAGATTCTAAATTTTACAAATTAAGACCCCGAGGGGTAGATTTGGGCCACAATTAAGGAAATTAGACTTTTTACACTGAAACATAAAAGACAAATTTTAAAATCTTTTTCTCAAAAACACAGGGGCCAGAAAATCTGAAGGTATACAGTCTAAATTCTAAATTGTTCAAATCATAACATTTGGGGTATTATAGTTTTGAAAAGGGAAAAGTCTGGTGAAGAACATCCGGGTCCAAAGATAACCCAGGAGAGTGTTGTGAACCATGAATCTTTTATTTTATAGTTTAAAAAGTGCAAACAGTCCCACATACATGTATGACTTACAACCCAATATGTGGCATGTAACTTACTCAGATAACTTTAGTAACTTTAATAGATGTCAATAGCAATGTTTTAAGGGAAATGATTAAAAGAAAACATTGTGTAATGTAAAAGAAAAACATACAGAACTTAGAATAACATATCATGCTCATACTGATTAAGGATCTAGTTTCCCTTTTAAATTTTCCTATTGCTCTGCAAAGACTGAAAGGGCTTATTTGAACAGTCTTACTTGTCAATATTTTATGGTAAATAATCTTTTTAACCAAGCTTATCCGAAAATCAAACACAGTTAAAGTTGTTCTAGACATAATAATTGGTATACTATTGAGGGAACTCTTTACGTTTTTAATGCACAAATTGAAGTTATAAGGCAGCTAGAGAATGAAAGGAAAAAAAACAGTCACTAAAGAACACTCTGTTTCCTTGACCAAACAATGCAAATATTAATCATTTTACTGATTGTCTGCTCTTTGTCAGAATAGGACTGAGAACATGATCACAGAACGACATGAGAAAAACCCTATCCAGCACCATACATATCATATTAATTAAGCAATCTCCTAGTTTATGTATTTGTATTTTTGTGAGTATCGTGAAATGATGAACCTGTTCATACAGTTAAGTCCTGTTTAAACAACTCTCTGATTAATGGGTAAATTATGTACAGTCCATGCTGCTTGACAAAGAGAGTTTATCAAACTGTTGATACAATGTTTGGTTACTACGTATAGGGGGTAATGGATTTCTAATTCATCCAAAAAAGCCTTTCACTGTGGAAGGACATGCATTAAATGGACTTTGTTGGTTATATAGACAAGATTATCATCAATCAAATATGCCATATATATTTATTACTTACATAGTTAAAGATAGTCATCGCTTAACAGAATACACTTGCTATATTACCATTACATATTGTGATACTTAACAGTGCGTAAAATTTTCATGATATCTTGTGAAAGGTACTACGTACGTAACTTCTTCAAAGATAAAATTAATGACACTTTTTAAGAATTCATATCAGTGCATCAATTGACAACTATACATGTTTTCTTCAAATGAATTTGCAATGTCCTGCAGGAAATCTTTAGTTATAATAAAATGTCAGTCTGAGAATGAGATATATGAAATTGATGTCAATATGCTATGTGAATCTTTTCCTACCTGTTGAGATAAAAGAAATTTACCTGAGGCTCTGATTAGTCATTCAGATCAATATTTCACAAGAAAAGACAAACAGGAACATTATCCTCCCTAACACCGATAAAGAAATTCGGCCTTAAATATGCTTTAAAACTCAGCACCATAAGTCTATTGAATAGCTCGCTCCATGCTGTAGTGGATTAGGATTAAATTTAATACAGTCAATGCACTTCCTTAGAATATTTATGACTGCATGCAGCTAAACACTTTTTACTATTTTCAGTAACTTAGACAACATCAAATCCTAAGTGCACATGTATTTAATCTTTGGGACTTCTGAGTAGATTTAGCAATGCATTTTGATAATACTCTCACTACAGAGTGTCAAGATTTGATATTTTATTAATTTTACCAATTTCTTTGTGATTTTAACATTCATTTTTGTGAATATAATTGACGTTTGTGTGTTGGAATTAAAACTTTAAACACACATGGCACATGCAGCAAATTCAGTTACAATGTACTTTTGTACACAGTTCCAGAATTGTTATTTAGTAATTGTTAATTATCTATTTTTGGGGGTAGCTAAATTACATTTACTTTGTTATTGCCATTTATAAAAACTTAATTATTATCATGAGCATTGATATGTATTAGAAATGTAATTAATGCTTAATGTCAAGTTTTGGCCTAATATGCAAGTATATCATAATTAATTGATTTACCTGGGTATATTAAAAAGAATAATTTTTTTAGACCAGACCAGTTTTCTTAAGTATGTTATATTAATATAACATTCATTGTACAGTGTGTTACAGTGATCATGCACAAATACATAATTATATGGTATATATTAAATCTATATGATAACTCATATTGATATAAATTATGTTAACATACAACCTCCTTGCACTGCATGCACCATCTTGAATAATCAAATTTACAAAATAAACAAAGCACTATTCAGGACACCCAACTGTGCTAATTGTTAAGATATCTTATTAACCATCAAAAGCTAAAGATTTAATTGCTGTTCAATGTCACAAGTGTTTCTGGTTCGTTTGATTTCAATTAAGCCAATATTTTCATTCTTACAACAGTACAGTTAAATATTAAATGGCAATATATTTATCATGTAATTATAACTGAATCTCAAATGCTGAGATTTTACATGCTGTCCACACATACAAGGAACATGCAAACTAAATCAGTCTTATTAATTCTCAGTATCATATACATACATATAAAGTATGAGATATAAAATAAGCATGCATGTCTTACCTGATTTGCCTAATGAAATGAAATCAATCAAGCATTTACCATGAATTACTTATACAATATACAATTTATGCCCCATCACTACAGATGAATGGAAATAATTTGTAAATGATAATAAAAAAAATGTTTAATATTAGATGCTATCTGTATATCACTAGAAGTATGTAATGCACAGTAAACAAACCAAACTCCAGTAATTATAAAGCCTATCTCAAATTTACAATAAATCTAACACAACATGGCAAAAATCTTACTCTGGGAATAGGCGTTCTTTTTATATGGATCAATTGCCAGTAACTTCGATGGCGAAGTATTCTTTCTGCTTTCATAAACCATATTCACAGTAAGTCCTTATTAAAAGTCATTTAGTCGCTATTCATTTGTATGATCCTTTGTTTTAGCCTATATTTCGGCCTTTGTTATCCGGAAGCTTAATGTGAATTTATCCCTCTTGCCACCTGCCAACACAGGGTAACATCTTCCATCTTGTTTACAACAGTTGCCCGGCATTCGGAATACCTTGGGTAATTTCTTTAGCGCCAACGGAATAGCAGAGGGCTATGTACAGTCTTGAGATATTCCGAAAAAGAATTTATTGAATTTAAAAAAAAAAAAAAAGATTAATCTGTTTTTTTTTTATATTAATATAAACTTTTGAATTGTTAGGCCATTTTTTTTTTATGAAATAGGATAACCGATGTCAAGTGATATTGTGAAATAGCTTCTTTTTTGATTAACACATATTCTGATGACGTACAACACATTGATATCCGGAAGATTATTTATGTAAAAATGGCACCAAGAGCACTGACAGTTTGTTGTGATATTGTAAGATGGTTTCCTGTAGTCTTTATTTCAGCCATAATAGTTTGGTCTTACTACGCATATGTTGTCCAGATGTGTATTTGTAAGTATATTCAGTAATTTAACTGATGTGTGATATATCAATCAAAAGACGATCATTTGTTCACGATACAAAATTGCAAAATGATATGTTGACAAAATTATTGATTTTCATGGAGTCTCACAAGTTTTAAGAAGTCATTTAAAAAGTTTATCTTTCAGGATATTTTTTCCCTATTTAGATATTTTTTAGACAAATGAAACAAAAATAAATAATTTCAAAGACAATATGAAGATTAAGTTCATGTGCAAGTCACATGTATTTTGCATGCATGATTGTTCATGATGTCATGTGTATAGTTAAGTTGTTCCACTGACACATGAAGAAAAAGAATTCTTTTAATTCTGACTAAAAAGTTGTAGATATTTTGTTTCTAATATGACATTAAAATTAAATGTTCTTCATGATCAATGAAATACATTCCTTGAAAACTAATTTTTGTATTTTTGTCATAAAGGTATGCATAGGGTGTCATAAAGGTATGCATAGGGAAAGTGATACTGTGATAGTTAAAATAATCTAACTGTGTCTTGGGACAAGCCCTCACTACAGTTGAATACCTCCCATGTATTGAAATGTAGCAAAAAATTCCAGGATCGCTCTGAAACAATTTTGAAGAATACAAAAGACTTTGCACAAAAAAATAACTTTCAAATAAATTGTAACAAACCTTTTTGAGGTTGCGTATGCCTTTAAACCTAAAATATAATCCAAATAAAGGCGAAAATTCAACTAATTTTCTCAATGTTTTTTCTCACTTCAAAATTACATGCCATTTTTACATTCCAAATTCTCCAGTTCTCTGGATTGTTTGTAGTAATTGCACTGAATTCGAGTTAACGCCCGTGTTGATTTTGCTACATAGTGAATATATTGAACAAATTCCATCATTAAACTGGTCCATAGGACATATAATTTTTACGATAAAACATTCTATCTAAGTGATAGTAGACTAAGAACCTAATGATTTAAACAATGGACAACATTCCTTGCAATGTTTGAAAGCATGCATATTTTACATGTCTAATAATCTGGTACTATCTCTATGTTCCATAGTTTGTATGACTGGATTATTTCTTTGAAAGCCAATTTTATTTTTCATTTCAGTTACTGTGCCTAATATAGCAGAGAAAGGTAAGGGAATTTACAAGAATATAATTTATTTCTGGGATTTGACTATATACTATAGAGCCTAATAGAGGTTATCTTTTTTTTTCTTTCATTCCAAACTTATGGTACTAGTGCAGTTTAAGGTGCCTGCATCAAAATATGAAAGTGAACACTGCATGAATAAGATTTTTGCAGTATGATACATGTATCAGAAGGATTATTGAAAAAAAGATGTTAATCAAGTTCTGATATTCATATTGCAATAGTTTGTGGAATCATCATTCAATACTGACTTGATGTCTTGATTTTTCAGTTATATATCTGCTGATATACCACCCCATACTTGTTCTGTTTTTGTGGTCATATGGAAAAACTATATTTACTCCAGTAGGATCAGTTCCTCCACAGGTGAGAACTAAAGCATGAACTCTAAAAATTACAAATATACAAATCAAAATACAGTAAAACCCCCTTATAGCAGGTGAGAACTAAAGCATGAACTCTAAAGATTACAAATATATAAATCAAAATACAGTAAAACCCCCTTATAACAGGTGAGAACTAAGGCATGAACTCTAAAGATTACAAATATACAAATCAAAATACAGTAAAACCCCCTTATAACAGGTGAGAACTAAGGCATGAACTCTAAAAATTACAAATATACAAATCAAAATACAGTAAAACCCCCTTATAGCAGGTGAGAACTAAAGCATGAACTCTAAAAATTACAAATATACAAATCAAAATACAGTAAAACACCCTTATAGCAGGTGAGAACTAAGGCATGAACTCTAAAGATTACAAATATACAAATCAAAATACAGTAAAACCCCCTTATAACAGGTGAGAACTAAAGCATGAACTCTAAAAATTACAAATATACAAATCAAAATACAATAAAACCCCCTTATAACAGATGAGAACCAAATCAATAATATAGATTCCAAAGACTACAAATATGTAAATCAAAACACAGTAAAACCCCCTTATAACAGGTGAGAACTAAAGTAATAATATGGACTATAAAGATTACAAATATACAAATCAAAATACAGGAAAACACCCTTATAACACGTGAGAACGACAGTTGTGTAGGTAGTATTTGAAACTGATAAGTCAACAAGAAGCATCATAATGTCACAATTCATTGAAGATAATTATGTTACAACAGCAAATGTAATTTAGCATATTGCATGCATTGATATTGTTTTCAAATTGAAAATGACTAGGCTCACAATAATTTCAAATTTTTGTTCACTGGAACTTCTCCCAGAGTCATAAAAAATGATTGATTGTTAAATTGTACTTTTCAGTTCTATCTGTCCAAAACAGATGCTGAGAGAATAGCCAGAGAGTCCGAGGAGGGCCAGAAAGCTATTCTAATCAATGCTGCCAAAGAGTTACCTGTCCTGAATAGAACACATTCAGGCAGTAAGTACTTAAAACAGCTGTTCTTGTAATGCACTAGAACTAGCAATAAGTGCTAGTATATCAGTAAAGATCTAATTATCAAACTTGTCTTAGCAGCCAGAAATCAACGGCCACATTCAGTTCCCCCCGACGATTTTTCCTATATATTTTAACTGTAATAAACGGCCATCTGTGTAAAAACGGCTCAAATTCAACAATGACACTGTAATAGGCGGCTGTCACTTGTTACGTTTCTGTTATGTCAAACACATTCGCTTGGGTAATTATAGTTTAACCTATTAATGCAATTAAACAAATTGCTTTTAGATCCTGAATATTCCTGAACACTATGTAACATCTCAAGATCGCCGATTGAAAAATTTAAAGTACATGTAATTACAATTGATACTATCTAAAAAAATTCACACCTTTCAGATTTTGATTCCTTGTAGAAGCGCTAATTGCCACTCTTGTGAAAACAAAAAGCTTCATATGGCATGATTGTCTCGTGAATTTCACTATCAAGAGACGATCGATAGGGATTAGTTACGCTCTACTGCACTTCACACCTGTGTTGTAGAATGATTTTCAACTGCGTATACATTACTGGTTAATTTTATAAAACATAGAAACTCTGACAGCTTTATGCATTTACCGACTTTAAAAACTTCAACAAGTAAGTTAATTGCCGATTAATGTACTGCCATTTTTTTAATACATGACTTTTGAGTCAGGTACTGTGAATGATAATTAAAAGAATTTATTTAATACTTCAATGTCTGATGAATGCAAGATGCAAGGAACAGAAACATGCACAAAACCTTAAGGGTAAATGACCTTGAATTATTATATGAACACATAAAAAGCTTTTGTGAAATTAACCTGTTTTATTATTTGATAAATTAATTTTTAAAACTGTAGTGCTTATTGTTGTTTATTTATTGACCAAATGTTTTTTTCGAGAGCAAACTGGAATAAGAGGCCACCTGTCTTAAGTGGCCAGTTTCCAGAATTCCCAAAGGTGGCCTCTTAAAACAAGTTTGACTGTATTTTAATTAATTTGTAGGTCCAAGGTACTGTGAAAAGTGTCGCTGTATAAAACCAGACCGATGTCACCACTGTTCTGTTTGTGGCCAGTAAGTGTAACGTTAATAATATATCTTAATTCACATTCATATCATGCAGGAAATTTAAGGCATCATTGATTCATTCTCTTTGTCATTTTTTTCCGAGGTAAAATGTTTGCTGTCGCAACTTTGCATGAAAAGGAAGTTTAAGTTTTTTTAATTACATGAAGGGACATACTTTTTAAAGGGAAACAAGAAATGGGAAAACTTGACGCAAGAAGGAAATTTAACTTTGTTTAATAAAATGAAAAGCAATACTTTTTAAGGGGAAACAAGTTAGTTTTTTTAAAAGTGAAATTATCTCATAACTTACAGGGCAATAAAAAAAAATACTGTTTAAGAAAGGTTTCTTACTGACTTAATTAATTTACGAGTTTATTCTGAATATGGCCCAAGATTCAGATAAACATATCCAGAAGTTGTAAAATCGCTGTTTAAGAACACTGTGAATGATGATGTCATTGAGTTTCATATTTTCGATTTTTTTGTAGATGTGTGTTAAAGATGGACCATCATTGTCCATGGTAAGGACACTGTATATGTTACCTTTGATGTACATACATACCCTGAAGAAGTCATCAGTGTTTGTTTGCAAACTTTATTTAGTAGATTTAAACTTGAGGCTATTCTCTGACTGCAATATTGTTGATTTGACATGTATTTTAGAAATATCTGATCATTATGATGTCTTAAATACCGATACTGTATCAATCCTTACAGGGTCAAGAACTATGTAGGATTCTCTAACTACAACATGTACAAGTATTTTATTAGTTATCCAGGTTCAATCAAGGGTGTGCGGGGATTTACCCCGGGTTTTATTCCATACACCCTGAGGCCGCAGGCCAAAGGGTGTATGGAATAAAACCCGGGGTAAATGCCTGTACACCCTTGATTGGACCTGGATAACGAATTTATTTCCTTTGTACCAATAAAAATGCTTTGTAAACATCAGAGTGTGTCTCAATCTATCGATTAGATAACTATGTACTGAGAATTTATTTATTTATGTTTTTATTTACACCCGGCTCAAGTCGGGTGCACGGATATTTACACCCGACTTTGTAACCAATCAAAGCTCGTGTTACAAGCTAGATAGGAAATAATGTATTGTGTCTCATCATCAGATTAATATTGTATTAATCTTTACAGGGTCAATAACTGTGTAGGATTCTCTAACTACAAGTATTTTGTATTATTTCTGGGATATGGACTGCTGTACTGCCTATATATTGCTGCAACTAGTTTACAGTACTTCATTTTATTCTGGAAGGTATGTTTACATGGCAAAAATCATAATTATTTAATATTTCAGCTAAATTTTGATTGAATTCTAAGTTGTATTAATAGGATTATTATAATTATGAGTTCAATTCTTTAGATAAAGTGAAATGAAACTTAATATTAAAAGTTTTAATTTTTCTTGATTGCAGAGTGGAGTTTCCAAAGAAATGGGTCATTTCCATATATTATTTTTGTTCTTTGTGGCTGTGATGTTTGGTATAAGTCTTATATCTTTGTTTGGCTACCACTGTTATTTAACAGCCTGCAATAGATCTACACTAGGTAAAATATAAATTCCAATGTTATGTATAATTTGCATACATGTACTTGTAAACAGACTTAAAGTTTCAAAATTTAAAGAGGCTTCTATACATATACTGTCTGTTTTGTTGTTTTTCTGCTTTACATACTCTTCAAAGAAAAATGTTTGTGTGATAATGTTAAATATTTGTGTGATAATGTTAAAATTTTACAAATATTACTGACAGTTTGACAGAAGTCTGTTATAAATGTCTATTTACAGAGTCCTTTAGAGCTCCCATATTTCAGAGTGGACCAGATAAAAATGGATTCAGTCTGGGGAATTATAACAACTTCACAGAAGTTTTTGGTGTAGATAAAAAATCATGGTTTTTACCAATATTTTCAAGGTATTTGTCCACTTTAGAAACTAAAGTGTTTATTATAACTAAATAAACTGAAAATTTTAAATCTAAGAGTTGTTCCCCTTGAATAAGGCATATATTATTTTGTCAGAAAATTAAATGTGTAAGGCCATATAAAATTAATCTTTAGATTCTCATCCCCGCCCGCCCCTCTCAAAATGTCCCGCCCCGATGTTTTTTATTTTGATTTTTTGGTATTTTGATGTATTTTTATTAAGTAAGAATTTGGGTCAAAGTTTATAGAGTTATCTTTTGTATTAAAAGTCGCGTGTCGCTATTTATAGCAAAAACGCCATGTGAAGAATGGAGAAAAATCGGCAATATAAGCAGTTTAAATGTGTAAGGAAAAGATAATTTGTCAGTATAGAGAAGGCAGAGAAGAAAAAATAGCATAAACACATATAGATACCATCACTGGCAGGAGCAAGTATGTAGAGAGATTGTAACTAAGTAAAAATAGACGAGGAAAATGACACCTGGTCAAGTTATATATAACGATCTCTCAGCTGTGTGACTTAGCTTTGAAATAAAAAAAAATCTACAACATCGTAGACAGACTTAAGAGAAGGCCTAGATTTTTCAGTAGAATAATTATTAGAACATTTATATAGATTTTGCAAAATAAGAAGTCACGCATACACAATTTATTGGTATCCCCACCTCATTTTGTTCAAGGTGTGCCGTATAATGTGTACTTGATAATTTGTTAATTAACAATAAATATTTAACTTTTAATGCAAAAATTTTCTTTAAATATTTAAGATATGAAAAGAATTAAATCTATTCATATTTGCATTAAGGTAATGAAAAAAAATGTGTCCATTGTTTTGTTGATACTTAGGCCTATATATAAATAAATTAACAATTATAAAAAATTGTGCAAATTAGGATGAGAATCTAAAGATTAATTTTACCTGGCCTAAACAACCCCTTTTTAATTTATTCAAACTGGAAAAAATATCCTTGGTGCAATGTTTTATTTTTTATTCTCTCTTTTTTTTCATTTATTTATTTAGAAGTCTATTTTTTCTACGTTGCAAGTTAGAGAACCTCCCTTTTTTCTCACTTTCTCAAATTTTTTTGTTCTATGTCTCATTTGGTATAAGACACTGCAATATTTTTGTGATCATTTGCCATTTGTTGATAGGATGAAATGATGATGTACTTTTTTCTCTTTCTGTGTATACCTGACTGTGTTTATACTGTTACTTCAGTGATTCTGATGGGGTGTCCTTTCCCACACGAAACAATCTCCAGGCTAACAGTAACAATTCTTACCAAACTATGGGGGAAACGCCCAAGCCCAGGTTAGATATCATGCATGCTTACAGTGTTGGGTATTGTAATGTATGGTAACACTTTACATTAATCAGCAGTCATCTGAAAAATTCTCTCCTTTCTCTTTCTCTTGCATTAAATTGATATTTTGGCTTTGTTACATGTGTAAAATCAATTTTCTTTACATTTTCTGTGTAAAATATTCAATCAGTAAATACTAGATTTAGCAAGTAGAAGCTTCAGTTCTTGTGTATTTTTTTCTTTTTATGTGTTAATCATTTTTTGTAGCTAGGTGGCATGCTTTCATCTTTTTATTGTACATAATGTGTTCTACAGATGTGTATGCTTTTAGTAGATTTCCTCTTAATGAATAACAAAAATGAAATTCTTAGTTTCACATGTGGCTTTAATAAGATTCAGGAATTTTAATTATTACATGTATTTAGCTAAGAGTAGAACTTTAGATCTGTAGAATTTAGGTTAGAATTAGATTTATGAATAAGAGAACTGGATTTATACATGTACATGTATCTAAACTTTGTGCAAGTAGATGGCTACTTTCGTGTTTTGTTTGTTTGGAGTCATTTTGATTTTCCCTTAAATTAAAAAAAAACCCACAAAACTCTAAAGCAACCAGTTCACAAATTCTGTAAATGTACATGTATATACAGCTATTACATTGGTACCAGTTTGTCCTTCTGAAATAAGTAAAATTTTAGTGATCTGGTTAATACTAATGATATGCGTGTATAGATCGCCTTCAGAAACTTAGCTCATTCGTTTTTGTATAGCCCTATCATTTTTTTTTTCACAAGTTGAAAGAAACATACAGTATACAGTGATAATTATGTTTAGGTGTGGAAGGGACACCCATTTACACTGTACTTCTATCAAAATACATTAATGTAGTGCATGTATTCAGATCTCTTAACAGTAAAATTGTTGTATTTCAATATACAGACAAATTAAGGGATCATTTTCATTTAACATACCGTGGTATTTATCCTTCACTTTGTTATAGTTAAATCACATTGCAAATATTTTTGTTTTTTAATTGACATGTCTTTGTAAAAATGTGAAGCATGCCCCTAGACTAACCTTTTCTGACGTTCACCGTATTTTTGGTCTGTATTTCCAGTGCTGGTGACGGAGTCTCGTATCCTACTCGTACAATAGATCTCGATTCTGACGGTCTCCTGGCGGACCGACAGCGATGGATGGAGGAGGGGGAATCAGACGGGGGAGGTAATCGACCTAATTTTCAGATTTACTGGTAGTGTGTTTGCTGTGCATTTTGCACACCCTAAAAATAACTTTTGGAAAGTTTTCTAACAAAATGTCTGATCCAACGACCCTTACTGAATTAAAGATATGGAAAACAGAAAGAGCATTTTTTTTAAAATTTTAAACCTTAGAACATTTTGAAGGTAAATAGTAAGACTACTTTTGTAATGATATGCAGGTTATGATCAATCTCTAAATTAACTCTTAAATTAATGATAGCAGTACATGTATTAGATTTGGTGACAGACTGCAGTTTTGTATCTAAGTTTGAAATTTAGGGGACTAAGTGGTTTCTTCCGTAAAAGTTGAATGGACCCATATTTAAATTAAAATGACAGTATATAAAGTGAAAACAATAAAAACAGAAATAAAGTTTTATCTTATAAATGGTCATCTGCAAGGCTGCATCTTAGTATGATGATTTTTTTCATTAAATCTTTTTTTTCTACAATATTTGTAGTCTAATACTTGAAAAACAAATACATCAGAGTAAGTGGTCACATTTTAAAGGTTTGGTTACTTGATGGGTTCATTTTGGTTTTAGGTACTCTGTTTTCTGGGTCAAGTCAACAACATTTGATCAATGTTCAGGAATGACCATAAACGTGGACTGTAGGTGGCTCTTTATGCTTAATAATGCATGCAGTTGCCCCGTAACCTTGCTCATGTTGATATTTAATGTCTTCTTTTTTTGTTAAAAAAAGAGTAGAGAGCGCATGGAAATATGTGTACATGAAATATATTTGCATGATCCTTTATAGCTTTATAGCACAGTGCATGTGTTTAAAAAGTAGATTGACTCAAATCTTAATATACTGTAGAAGTACTTTTTTCCACGTGGTATTAATTTACGCTATGTATCTGTCACAAATAATCCACTGAGATTTGTCCAAGCGTACTTAATATAAATGTAAGGCAAATAGTGACAGTCAAGAAAATCTGTGTAATTTTCTACCTGTGGATTAAACAGAAATTTAGATTCCGCGGAATTATGACCCCGCGGAAAAAAGTATGTCTACAGTATATGAAAAGATTTGAATTTTCTATCTTCTATATGTGTTACAGATGAATGAACTCTGTTTCCTTACAGACAATACTTTTTTTATGTGCCTTCCCAAACCTACTGTACTAAAAATGTTACAGAATACTTTTGTAATGCTCACATGAGTTTAAGAATTTTCAAGGCATGTCTTTTGTGACACTCCTGATCTCTGACTGTATCTGAATTTAATATTTTGTACATGTATGTGTAACAGTGGAAATTTCATAATATGATTGTCATCAATCTTTTTATTTGAAAGGGCACTGCAGGAGTAGAATTTAAAGCAAGTAAATTATTTAAAACAAGAGTTCCATAGGCCACAATACTCACCTGAATAAACTTCGAGCCTGATGTAATGGGAAAAAAATCTGAATCTGCATATTAAAGGATGTTAGCATATTGACAAGACTATTCACTGGTCAAGTTGCTTTTTCTTTTATAATTTTTCTAAACATGTTAAATGTTCTTTTTCTGTCTAATCCCATGAAAAAAAAACTTTGATTTCCTTATACATGTACAACCATAGGAGAATGATCTGAACAAATATTGAATCTGAAATACTTTAGAAGTACTTTTTTCTGCGTGGTATTAATTTACGCTATGTATGCAGTCACAAATTTTCCGCAGAAATTTATCCAAGCGTACTTCATATAATTGCAAGGCATAGAGTGACAGTCTGAGAAATCTGCGTAATTTTCAACCCGCAGATTAAACGGAAATTGAGATTCCGTGGAATTATGAACCCGTGGAAAAAAGTATGTCTGCAGTACCTTAATACACTTGCAACCTTCGTTTGAACAAAGTGGCATCCCCTTCACCAAAGGATGCTTTGTGCAATTATGAAATTGACCCTAAGTTCTAGAGAAGTCAAACTTGTCAAAAGTTTTAAGATGACAGACAGACATTAGACCCTCTTTGACTTTGAGCAGGAAAGCTCACCTAAGCCTTTTGCACCTCTCAGCTAAAAATCCTACATAAGACAAAACTGCTGTATCATAAGGTTTAACACAATTCAAATCTTACAGTCCCTCACAGTATGCATTTATTTTTGAAGGTCAATCTAATTAATAAAAGCACAGTAAGCAACCTTTATAATGCTCATACAATATCCAGAACATTATTTGATGAGAGGACATGCATCAGGCTTATTTGGGGAAATAAAGATTAGTGCTTTTAATCAAGTAATTTTGAAATAAATCAGCTATGAATTGACTTTCAAAGGAAGATATACATTGATTTTTCCTAAAAAAATGAATGGATTAATAATTATGACTTTTTTCATCTTGTAGAAAGACCAAGAATGTATGGTTCACATGAAAATGGTGGATATAACATGGCATGACCAAAGAAACAAATGAACAAACATAATCAGTGACTCTCCAGCATTGCCAGAGAGTGTTGATGGATCATTCCTATGTCTCTTATAAGAGAATAATCACCATTGTTATATTCTGGCAATGTTAGCATTTTGTGTCAGCTGTTGTCAACTTTGCTCTTTGTAAACAAAGTTCATGAAATTATAATTTTGATTCAATAGGAGAACCACCCTTTAATAGTAGTTTATATAAAAAGAACAATGAAAATCTTGATGTACTATTATATCTACATTGGATCTGTGATGAACACGTGAAAGATTTCAAATCACCACTAGTTCTACTTAATCCAAATAGGAAATTTCCTGAAATTTCTTTTCCAAAAAGATAAGAAATTTCTAAAAATATTTCCATTTTCTTTAGAAGAAACTGTAAATGAAGAATTGTGATTTATTTATTGATGTATTTATTGTTGATTTAAACATTGCATCTTGTATCAAAAGAAATTTCTTTTACTAAGAAATTTTATACTGATCAACACTTTAGGTTTATAATCCCCCGTTCACTCATATAAAATGATTGCTTTAACTTTTGCTTGATTTTTTAAAAAAAGAAATGTGTTTGATAAGTAAAATGCAAACAATTTTAGCATAGCGTTTTGGGCAGATTCAGTCAAAAGAGATATTTCACTTATACAAATTTATTGAGGAACACTGGACATTTTTCTTATGAAGATTCATTTCCCTTTTGAGAGTATCAATAAACCTTAACTATATCACACATATCTTTCAGTAATGAATTATTAGTTATCCTGAATATTGCTTAATTGAGCATTCATTACTTTTATATAAACTTTGGGATATGTTTAAAGTTAAGTTTGAATTTTATTCAGAAGACAGTTTGAGTCATAATAGAATAAATGCCTTTTGTATGAATGCTGTTTGTGAAGAAATTCATTTTACAAATTACATGTATAAGTAGGTATCATGTGTGCAGTTGTACTCAGGTTTCTATTATTATGTGTGTTAACTGTATAGAACTGCTGTGTTTTTTATTTGAATTCTATATGTCTTAATTTCTGTTATCATGAAAATTTTCTGAAAAGTTAGGTTCATAAAACCTTTGGTACATTTTATTACTTCTCCACATTTTCACTGTGTTAACATTAGATCACTTTATTGTTGATGCATGGTCCCATTTTTTATAATTTAAATTCAAGTAACTTAGAACATATGAAATGTTTTTGACTTTATGTGTTCTAGATTGCATTACAAGAATTTCAAAAAAGTGCAAATGATTAATGGGTATGTATTAGTAATGCACATGAATTTTTCTTTAAAATGTATTCAAAATGCTCTTTATTCAGTTTAGAGCATGTAAATGATTATCTGTGTCTTTTCTCTACGTGAAAAATCTTTTAAATGTGTTACATGTAGTAATCCATGGTATTTCGTGGCATGAACTGCCCTCTTATTATGAAACAGGGTTTACTGCACTGACATTGATGCTTTAATGACATTTTCTTACTGAAATGTTAAATTGAGAATACAATGTATTTGTTTAATAATAAAAATAAAGGTTAAAAAACACTTTTGTTTATTTTGCATAGGTACAAGTGTTGTCTTCGACTAGTAAATTGTCGATGAGTTACAGTATTTATAAATAAGGATCAAATATAATAAACATTTCTATTCTAAATTTTCACTACTTTTTGATACATGTATATTTTTCTTTAATACTTATACATGTGGCAAATGTCAATGGATATTAATTCTGGAAAAAAAAAAAAGCAAAAAATGGCAATTTACATTATATGTGATGTTATTCTATGGCAAAAAGATGATACACCAAAGTGTCAAATGCCATGTCACATTTCATCTCTGAATAAAAAAAAATTGATCAGCCCCTAAACAGATAAAAATTTACAGCCCTCCTCTAGCAATTGGTGGATTCTTCTATTGCCATTAGGAAGCTAAACATGGCTTCATCAGATTTTGCCTGCTATGTGTTTTCCATTGTACACCTTTCACAACCCAGTAAACCATCTTCATTTGTATCAAACCATGCCCCCAGGGGAGAGTGAAGTCACAGTGGGGGTTTATTTCCCAAATCTCTACTGGACAAAACCAACAATTTAGTAATTATCACACCCTCCCCTGGGGGCATGGTTTGATAAAAACGAAGATCTACTCTACAGTCTCATTAAAATTGTATTATTAACTTATCAGAAATAATAAGTTACAAGTATAACAAATAAATATAGAGTCGAACTTTGGTATCTCGAACACTGACATCTCCGATACCTTGGATATATTATGATTTGAAAGTCCAAACAGCTTAAATCACATATATTTTTATCCTGATATAGGGAATCCTTGGCATCTCAAAGCTTTTTCTTCAGTCCCATTGAGGTCTAAATAAAGGGTTTTCACTGTACATCTTTATTGTACCTGATATATTACTTTAATTAACACTTTTAAAAAGTAATTGTGCATTACTAGAATTTAACACATTGATCAACTGAGTAAGGCCCAAATCAAAGCAGAAACAACAAACACAAACATTATATACTCTAGATGTTTATTGATATGTATGCAGACTTGCTGGATGTATTTTTTTTATCACAGACATGTATTGTAAATCTTGTAAACATTGATTAAAATAATACAATATGTAATATGCCCAAACATATATAAATAAAAATAAATCCATATACATAAATATGTACTAAAAATCTAAAGTACATGATATTTAATGAGTGTAAAATCTCATTAAGATGTTTTAAAAATACACAAATTAAGCGATCTAATTAAAATTAGATCTTTGATCCACCACAAAAGTAGCGATCTAGTTGGAGTGGATCAAAGATCTAATTTTAATTAGATTGTAAATAAGTTAATGTCAATATGTACTTAAGTACACAAGCCCTATATGGCTCTTGTGAGTTGCTTGACTTAAACCCTTATATGATTATTAGCATCAATTTTTCAGCATAAATAAAAAAAAAAAAACAAGGACATTTGTTTGCACAATGTCTACTGATACTTAGTATTTTAGATTAAAGTCAAAAGGCTGATTAAATACATCACATTTGAACATTCAACAATTAACATAGTGCATGGTATATAATATTCCAACAACTTTTCAATGTACTGAATAAAAACAATATTGCAGTCAAAGTCTGAATCTCTTGGCAACAGACATAAACAAGGACAATGCAAAGTGGTGATTCCCTAAGAAAACAGCACATCCATCCACAAATGTCAATAATTTATTTAATACTTGCCTACATTTCCATTATAAGGACACACTTATTTATTCACACTCATACATATACCCTACTGTAGGTCACTTAATTTTCGCGACACCTTATTTTCGCGAAATAGTCATCAACTCTTTATTAGCGAGACAAAATTTTCACGAATTAGGGTCATTTCTCTATATAATCTTTAGGAATGATTTTATACGCGAGTATGAAATTTTCGCGAGCATACCGTCTCGCGTAATTATGTGAAAATAGAGCTCTCACGAATAAAAAGTGATTTACAGTATCTCACATGAGTGCATTAATAGCTTCATCCCCTCCAACTTTGTTGCAACATATTGTAATTCTGTCCATACAAGTGTGCTAACTATAAACAAAGACACGGACATGATATACATGTATTCTCTATTCAAAGATACGGACATGATATACATGTATTCCGTGTTGCCATGGTACTATGAATCACCTTTAAAGTTGACACGTAGATACTCTCTGGAATTTATGTCAGCCTGCAATGACAGAAAGCAGCACATTACAAATTCATGGCTGTAGGAACAAGTTAGCTCTTCTCAGCAGTTCTAGATCAAGATAAACTCTTTTAGAAAGCAGCCATGATCCAGACCCAGTCAATAGATGTATATTTCCTACCTTTCTGATTGGCTCTGGGACCCTGAATTTACAACACTGGTGTACCAGTAATGCTGCTGATTCAATGCTGATTTTGTGTCCAGGTGAAACATAAACAGGTTTAGTGGCTCCTTCACAGCCCTTCAGTCCCTGTAATGAGATAGAATTTGTTTGTTATTTATATGATTTTAATGTTCATGTAAAATAAATAATCAAATTTTTATTAGATTGATTAGTTTGTGTATTTTTAAAACCAAGTGCAGAGTTTGCTATTTGTTTTAATGTCCAGCATTAAAACAAAAAATAATGGCACCATAGGTGAAAATTCCAGGAGAATGATAACCCCACAAGTACCACTGTGTAGGTTAACAGAGTTTACCATTAAATATTTACATTCCATGCATTTTTCCTTATGAAATTCATTAGAAATCCACGACATTCAAATTTCTATAACACACGCGAAACCTTGTCACCGCATGTTAGAATACACAGTAGGAACTATATGCATTTTCTATAATCTGGGAACACCAAAATGCACAATGTTTGGACTCAATTTAATTAAAAATTATAATCCTGTCAAATTAACGTAAAAACTCGTACTACAAATGTGCTTTTAAAATTAATTTGTCACTTTTTTCCTTGCAATGTTTGTTTGCGTTATTTAACTTTGCAACGTCATCTGACGTCACAAACGGCTCTTACGTCTATTAACCGCGTCAGTTTTGAAGGGCGTTAAATTCACAATAAAGATAAACGGAATAAGCAATTATGAAGAAGGAAAATTAGAGAATGTAAATATAAGCATTGAATTCATATTTTTGGCTGTCTTCGGTCCTATAACACACCTGGCCGTGCCGACAAATTTATCATACCGTGCTAACACGCGGTATTCAATTTGTCGGCACGGCCAGGTGTGTTATAGAACCAAAGACAGCCAAAAATATGAATTCAATGCTTAATTAAGGGAGCATGTTAACGGAAAATATTGGTTAATATAATACAATGTATATCATATAATAGCAACATACCTTTCCATAGTATTTTCCTGATACCCCGACCAGAGGAAAACTGTCTCCGCTTTTCTTCAAATTTGCAATCTATGGTGTACATGTAAATTATAAATACATCATGCAAATGTGTGTTTACTGTTAACACTTAATAACAGATTGACTTTACTTTAAATGATATGGAGTCCATGGTAAACACTTGCAAGCTGAAATTTATTTTTTTTTACTTAATTGAATAATTACCAATTCAGCATGTTTTTCATTTTTCTCAATGCCATCAACCTGCAGGAGATTTTTGGCCACCCCCAGACAAGGTACATCCAATAACACTCCTAACTGACAGCCCGCTCCTACACCTAGATAAAATAACAGTCCAAAAATAACACTCCTAACTGACAGCCAGCTCCTACACCTAGATAAAATAACAGTCCAAAAATAACACTCCTAACTGACAGCCAGCTCCTACACCTAGATAAAATAACAGTCCAAAAATAACACTCCTAACTGACAGCCAGCTCCTACACCAAGATAAAATAACAGTCCAAAAATAACACTCCTAGCTGACAGCCAGCTCCTACACCAAGATAAAATAACAAAAATAACAGTCCAAAAATAACACTCTTAGCTGACAGCCCATTCCTACACCTAGATGTAATAACAGTCCAAAAATAACACTCCTAACTGACAGCCAGCTCCTACACCTAGATAAAATAACAGTCCAAAAATAACACTCCTAGCTGACAGCTGCTCCTACACCAAGATAAAATAACAAAAATAACAGTCCAAAAATAACACTCCTAGCTGACAGCTGCTCCTACTAAAATAACAAAAATAACAGTCCAAAAATAACACTCCTAGCTGACAGCTCACTCCTACACCTAGATAAAATATCAGTCCAAAAATAACACTCCTAGCTGACAGCCCACTCCTACACCTAGACAAAACAACAGTCCAAAAATAACACTTCTAGCTGACAGCTGCTCTACACCAAGATAAAATATCGGTCCAAAAATAACACTCATAGCTGACAGCCCACTCCTACACCTAGATAAAACAACAGTCCAAAAATAAAGACCAAACAATGTATTAATTGCTTCTCTGACATGATTCAGACAAAACAAGAGAGAAAGGGACTGCAACTAAAACTTCTAATAGCTGATCCAAAACCTTGATAGATTAACAGTCCAAAAATAGCAACCATACATGTTACTGGCTTCTTTTACAATGCTTTATTTTCATCATTTTATATTATAATCCAAAATAGCAAATCACATAACAATCAACTGACTTTTAATTCCTACTTGATCATGACAAATTAACATATAAAATGATTTTATATTGCACCTGCACCTAGGTAAAATGATAATCCAAAAAATACCACCTAAACACTATTTTAAATATTGTAACAGTTATGTATCTCTTGTTGCTTTGAAATTACAGCATACCTCTGTGATGTAATATTCCATTTCCATCGACCATGATCACCTGCAACACAGATTACGAACTACATGAATCAAGTAAAAGTAAATAATTTACCAACAATATTTACTTTACATTGACACTCAACCATTTTATCAGCAAGATCATAATTAATACATATAATGATATTTGACAACATACACGTGAAATTGTTAGTTTGGCTAATATATTTTACCTGTGGTGTATATTTAGGTTCGTTTTTCTTTACATTCTCATATAACTGAACCATGAATTCCACTTCTCTAAAAGCCAGGAACCCAGCAATGTATGGTTGTGTAAGTTTCACCATCTGATAATCTTCATACACAACCTGTTGATATTTAAACAGATTTTAATAAATTCTAATAGTCATGACTTAATTAAGTAGGTACTGAATCATAGAGCGCACAAAATATATACAAATAAATGTCTTTGAATGCATGTGTTTAACGAGGCCCAATCTACTTGATCTGCGCATACGTTTTAACTTTTAACGCAGCGTCGACCCAGGCACGTCACAATACCCTTGACTGCCGTCACAATTTAACACAATAATGTCACAATTAAACTGACGTCAAATTGCGCTAAAATGTTTCGTTGATCTTGCTTACCTGGTAGCTCTATAGACTATGCATTAAAAGCTGGCATTTCTATTATTTTTTTTTTAAATATTTAAATTAATAAACAACCTTGAACTTAATTAATTTTCAGGAATCAATTTTTTTACAGATTCATTAAGTTTATCTTGTTTTATTTCAATTGTGCATTTTGCAAAAAAACAAACACTGCAACCAAAAGTAAACGACTTTAGTTTTTCACCTTGAACTTTTTGAAGTGTTTATACACACTCTTTTTATTGCGGACTTAAATAATGGATTATTTCAAAGTTTTAAAAAATAAAATAAGTCTATGAATCATTTAAATGCAAAAAATATTTTATTTTTCTATATATTACATGATATTAGTAAAAATCGCAATTTTAACGCACTTTGACCCCCCCCCCCCCCCCCCCCCCCTCCCTCTACCCCTTTTTTCCATGTAAAACATTGTCGCGTGTTAAGAGAAAAATAAAGCATGGCGAGAAAATTATTTCATAATGTAAGAATTATTTATTTTTTTAAATATATAAAGTATTGCAATCGTTTGTTGGTGTTATGTAAACCCATTGCGACCTAAAAATACGTAGTTGGATAGAATAAATCCAAATTTAGTGTTTTGACATGCCCCCTTTTCACTGCAATAAAGGCTACCTCCAATTTTCTTTTCATTTTTTATAAGAAGAATGAAAATTGCATGATATATGTGAAAAACAAAGAATTTCATCATGTATTATTTTTAATTTGTAAATTTCTTTGTTTATTGAATAGTTTTAGTATGTAATTGTGTATAAAAACACGACAAATGGTTTGACAGTGCCCCCATTTCACTACAATAAAGGCAAGGTAACAAAATTTCATGCTAATTTTTATAGCATAAAACATACAAATATATTTCCAAGAATTAAAATTTTTTATCATTCCGTTTTCGTAATTTTCAACTAGATGGGCCTCGTTAAACTCGATAAATCTCTCATTTTGTGCTACATTTGTCCATCTGTACATTAACTTATTAATCCATACCTCTAAATCAGGAAAAGAGCAGACAACCAGTGCAGCACAGGCATTAACATCATCTCCCTTTACAAAGGAAATGTCCATGCCCCCAATATAAAATGTCTCCTCTGATGATTGGGACAGCATCTTTTTAACTATCATGTCATCTTCTAAACTGATTTGTTTCTTTATCTCCAGCTGCTCTCTGAATTAAATCAATTTAAGAAAAAACTCAAAATGTCTTATATTAAATGCAAGATAATATTTTTACCTTCAAACAAGCTTAAATGATCAAACTGGCTTCATTCTCTGCAATCAACACACAAGTGAACATACAGACAAATTGACTGGTGTTTAATGGAACAGCATTATTGCCACATGAAAATGATCAGATATACTGCAAACATTTTGCATTTGACTGTGCATTTTTAGCACTTTTGGCATAAAGGAACCTTCACTAATTTAAGTATAGCTCAGTTAATTTGGTAGAGCATCTGATGGGAGATGCAGGGGTCCTGGGTTTGATTCCCACTCCAGCCACACATTTTCTTCCTTTCCTGTTAAAGATTTGGTGCTGTTGACCACCCCTGGAATTGCAGGTGAAAGTCCTGCCAGGGGTAAAAAGAAATTGGGTTGTGTCTTTGAGGGCGAAGACCATTTAAGGAGGGAGGAATGTAATGGTTTGGGCCTTGGATATCAGCCTGGATAGCTCAGTTGGTAGAGCACCTGACTGGAGATGCAGGGGTCCCGGGCTCGATTCCCAGTCCAGCCATACATTTTCTCCTTTCCTGTTACATACCTATGTAAAAATATAGTTCTGTACTCACTTTTCCCATTTGCACTTGAATGCTTCTAGAACAGGATCGAGCGTTCCACCATAATCAGGGTTATCCTGTTCAACCAGGTCACCATCCATTTTGTTTTATCTGATTTATGATGACCTTTCAAACGAAGTGGTTTAACCTGTTGTGTTCTATTTCTTTGATTTTACACGATCATTCTGCAAAATATTCAATAAAAGAATGAGTCAGTCAATGAAGTTAAAAACCTGAAACAATACGGTTCCATGTTTGTTCGCCCTAAAAATTGTTCGCCCGATATTCCGTTCGCCCGATTTTTCGTTCGCCCAGAGTCCGTTCGCCCAATTTCTCGTTCGCACAGGGTCCGTTCGCCCAAATTTTATATAGAATATAATATAATGACTTTCTTTTTACATTTTTGGTACATTCGAAATAATACTGCCATGGTTGATAGTTGAATGTTGAATTTTCAACTTCCATCTTCTTATAAATCATTTTTTGAGATCAAAGGGAGATTCTTCAAAGGTAAAACCTTCAGGATCCGCTGCTCAGTTCTATAAGGGATCTATTAACGTGTCAGTCCCTTAATTGTTTTCAAAACATAGCCCAATTCGTAAAAACAACACGGGTGTATCCCCCCAATTAACATTGATATTAGTCATCTAATTAACTATAGTGCAAACACCAAATCATTAATAAATGCATTACAATCAAATCAAAAATTAATTAAGACTTTATAAACATTGTTCTTGGTTTGAGAAAAAGTAGCCTAATTAAGTTCGTAAAGGAAATAAAAATACAAGTTAATCTTTATTTCAAATAAGTTAATTTATAAGTATATATAATATATAAGTATTGGGCGAAACTTTTATAGGGCGAACAAGATTTTGGGCGAAGAAATTTTTGGGCGAACGGACCCTGCGCGAACGGACTCCGGCGAACAGGTAGATCGGGCGAACGAACCTGTTACCAAACAATACGTATGTCAAACTCGTAAAATATCGTTTTAAATTTATTTATATCTCAGAATACTTTTACTTACGAAGCAAAAACATCAAAACTCTTGACAAGAGCAAAGTTTTGGACTTGTGTTGAGAAAAGTACCTTACACATACTCTGTTTACAGCTTACAATCTTGCAAGCTTAACAGCTACTCCATCAACAAGAAAATACTTACATGGCTAGAAAGTTTTGCTATGTCACGCTGTGTATGCTAATTATTCTTTTTAATTCAAGAAAAAATGATGAAATTACTAGTAATCCTGGAAATGTCCATGTTGTGAAATTGTAAACAAAAGAGACATCATCTATTTTTTTTCTTTCACGTTGGGAATCGAAATGATCGGAAATGTAAATTCCGAAAAGTGACGCATGTAGGACATAGACATATAGAACATACAATATAAGATACAGTATATAGTCTCTGCTCTTTCATAAATCTGTTCTGTTTTTTATGCCCCCATAATAGAAAATTCGGTGGTAAATTTTTGTCCTGTCCGTCTGTCTGTTTGTCCGCTAAAACTTTTTAAACACTGCCCATAAATGATTGGTTGGAGTTTGAAATATGTATTCCTTCTGACAAGACCTTTCTTTAGGTACCAACAAATTTGACCTCTTGGCCTCGACCTTATAGTTTGACCCACTTTTATAAAAAACTTTATCCTTGGTCATAATATTTGAATGATCGATTGTATATTGTTTAATGACGCCACCACTTGCCGGTGGAGAGCTGAACATTTTGTCCTATACTCGGCATTTAGCAGGGAGGGATCTTTTTCGTGCCAGTACCTACTTCGACACAGGACCTCGGTTTATTACGGTCTCACCCGAAGGACAGTCTCCAAGTCCCACAGCACATGGGATTCGAACCCGCGACTTAACGAGGCCCGATCTAGTTGAAAATTACGAAAACGAAATGATAAAAAATTTTAATTCTTGGAAATATATTTGTATGTTTTATGCTTAGAAAAATTAGAATGAAATTTTGTTACCTTGCCTTTATTGTAGTGAAATGGGGGCACTGTCAAGATATGGACCATTTGTCGTGTTTTTATACACAATTACATACTAAAACGCTTCAATAAACAAAGAAATTTACAAATTAAAAAAAATACATGAGGAAATTCTTTGTTTTTCACATATATCATGCAATTTTCGTTCTTCTTATAAAAAATGAAAAGAAAATTGGAGGTAGCCTTTATTGCAGTGAAAAGGGGGCATGTCAAAACACTAAATTTGGATTTATTCTATCCAACTACGTATTTTATAGGTCGCAATGGGTTTACATATTAACACCAACAAACGATTGCAATACTTTATTAGTTTCTAAAAAAATAAATAATTCTTACATTATTATGAAATAATTTTCTCGCCATGCTTTATTTTTCTCTTAACACGCGACAATGTTTTACATGGAAAAAAGGGGTAGAGGGAGGAGGGGGGGGGTAAAGGCGACAAAATTGCGATTTTTACTAATATCATGTAATATATAGAAAAATAAAATATTTGGGGGGTTGCATTTAAATGATTCATAGACTTATTTTATTTTTTAAAACTGAAGATAATCCATGCATATTTAAGTCCGCAATAAAAAGAGTGTGTATAAACACTTCAACACGTTCAAAGAGAAAGACTAAAGTCGTTTACTTTTGGTTGCAGTGTTTGTTTTTTTAAACTCACAAATTGAAATAAAACAAGATAAACTTAATGAATCTGTACCAAAAAATTGATTCCTGAAAATTAATTAGGTTCCAAGGTTGTTTATTAATTTAAATATTTAAAGAAAAAATAATAGAAATGCCAGCTTTCAATGCATAGTCTATAGAGCTACCAGGTAAGCAAGATCAGCGAAACATTTTAGCGCAATTTGACGTCAGTTTAATTGTGACGTTATTGTGTTAAATTGTGACGGCAGTCAAGGGTATTGTGACGTGCCTGGGTCGACGCTGCGTTAAAACGTATGCGCAGATCAAGTAGATTGGGCCTCGTTAAGGACATAACATTTGCACAGTTGGCACTACGGCTTTGAAATTTCACAGGAATATTCCTTGTGACAATTAAGACCTTTGATCCACGTTTAGAAAAATTAACCTTCTGTCAGGATAACTTTTGAATGTTTGATGCTTGGACTTTCATAATTACCAAGTATATTTATTTACACAAAATCTTTTTTAAGTAACAACCTTAATTTTTTATTCTTTTGACCTACATGTAGCAGTTTGAACGGACTTACTTTTGAGAAACTTAAACCTTCGCATAACTGATTTTAGAACTTAGTTTCTGCTTGCCGATTGACCCTTTTTTTTTGAAAATCATAGTTATTGTATCCAAAGGTTCAATACGAGCCCAAGCAAAGACTGGGTTAGGTCTTGCAAGGAATCTGAGACCTCTTTACCTCTCCTCATCCTCTTTCACAGTTCCCGAAGAAGAAAGAATCAAAGGCTCGAAAGTTAATTAAACAAGATGCGTTTGTGAAACACTGATACCCCCGAATGGCAAATGAGTACCCAAAGAAAAGTCTTGTCAAAAGGAATAGACATAATCATGTGAAATATAAAAAGTCATAGCTCCACTTAATAAAAAGTTATGATGGGCAAGATTTTTTAGGGCAAACAGACAGACGCACAGACACGAAAAAACTATATGAGCCCTAATCTTTGGCTACGGTGGCATGAAACTTCTTTTAAAACTAGAACAGCAAAAGGTCGATGTGCTGCCTTTCTAAAATTAAAGACCATCTGGAAATCGAAGGAAAAAATCAGGTTCAAAACCCAAAACCAAAACAAGAAATTTTAAAATAAATGTTTCTGGAACCCCAATCCCAAAACCAATATAAGGATTTTTAATACAAATGGTACTGGAACTCAAAACCAAAATAAGACTGAGTTTTCAAGACAACTTTTAAAAGAGAATAAACACCCTAAACTAAAATAAGAAATTATACGAATGAAGATTCGTGTTACTGGAAAATCATAACCAAAAACTGAAATATATTTTTGTACACTGACGTATGAGCAATGTACAGCAATGACCACAAACACAGAAGTCAGTCTTTGGTAAAGCCCCTTTTGATAATTTGGCTCGTTTTAATACCCCCTCCCACCTCAAGGAAGAGTATTACGCCATCAACTTTTCAATAGAGAATAATACTAGTAAAGCACGTACCCCCACTCCGTTTCCATATGATGATTCTATCGCCTTTATCATTTTTTTAAAAATGAATTTTAAGATTATTTTTTATATATGAAAGGTTTAATATTTTCATGAGAAAGATTAATTGATCATGATTATTTAACGCCCCTCTCGATAATTTTTCACTCATATGGAGACGCCACCACTTGCCGACGGAGAACTGCAAATTTTGTCCTATTCTCGGCACTCAGGTCATTGAGCAGGGAGGGATCTTTTTCGTGCCAGCACCTACTGCGGTACGGGACGTCGGTTTACTGGTATACGGTCTCATTCGAAGGACCGGTCTCCACGGCCCACAGCGGGATTCGAACCCGTGACGTAAGGATCAATTCCTTACATCGCGAGTCTAGAGCAGAACGCTCAAACCACTGCACCATGCGGACGACTCATAAGGATGGAAATAATCTTTACCTGTTTTTATATGGAGCAAATACGCTGTATCGATTTTGGGACACATTTTTTTTTATGTGGAATTATCTGGGTGACATAAACGTGTGAATAGGCAAATGTCAATTGAGCAAAATTTGAAACTTCTTCCTATACCTTTTACTAAACTCATATTTTCCAAATGCATAATTTTAATCTCCACTGGCAGAAAACGTTGCAAGATTCGTTATTAAAAAAAAGAAACTCTCCAAAGTGCATACGCATGTAAGTGCATTTTATATTAAAATGAATTTGTTCAAAGTCGGTAAAATGAATTCAATGACAGAAATTATCTATTAAATTAATTTTGATGACCATAATTAAGATTTTCCCCTTTTAAAAAGTATTCCTCCATGACTTCCTTTTAGCATCTCTAGAAAAAAGATTAAAAAACAGCTTCTGAACAAGAATAACAACACTTTTGGTCATCCATTTTTATAGAATAAAAATCATAAAATCAAAAATCTAAATAAATATATTTATATTTAAACACAAGCGGCAACCAATTTCGTCGTAAAGCACACTGGCATTCAAATAAAATATCCAGTAATATACGCTCCATTTTAAGTCAGAATATTCCAGAACATAATTTCTAAAAGAATTCATTGGAATTTACGAATCACCACTCCCTTTCCGGGGATCTTCTTTGGATAAAGGTTTAGGTTTGCCAATTTTTTCAGAACCTGACCATTGTAATTTTTCCGTTTCTAATGGGTCAAAGTAAGAAAATGTATCATCATATTCTATGTAATCATCATATTCCATTTCTAAATTTTCAGAAGGAGAAGTTCCACTGCGAGCTGGGGATAGAGTAAGCTTGCTCCTAGAACTATTAACACTTGAGCCCTGAACACTTTTCGGTGATGACGTTTTGGAATTTTCCTGTCGTGGACTTTTAGGACTTTGTCCATCCGGCTTTGGCAAGGCTTTATGTCTGTCTACATTGACTATATCTTCTGAACTGTTCATAACCCTATCTATGGACGGTAATGATGCGGATTTTTTATAACTTTCAGTCAAAGATGTGGGTCTACGCAGTTTGATTAATTCTATACTTGGCGATTGTACAAAGCATGTCGTCTGCTGTATGAACACTTCACATCTTTCAGGTGTACAGGAATCGTCCGAGGTTCCAGACCCAGGCTTTCTTGCCTCAATGTCCTCTTTCGTCATTTCCTTTAGCTCAATGGCTTCTTTTGGACCGTTTGTTTCAGTGACTTCTTCCGAAACATCCTTTTTGTCTTCTACATCCGCATCCACTGGAGGTATGGGATTAAGAACTGTTGGTGTTGGAGTGAGAGATCCCGCGGAATCAGGTGTAGCTAAGGATTTTACATTCTCTTTCACTTTCTTTTCACTAGAACCAGACGGACCTTTCTTTTTATCCTCTTTTTCTTTGGTATTCCGATCTTTTCTTTTACGAATTAAAAGTTCATGCTTACTCTTAACTGGAGATCCTCCATTAGATAATCTCTTAAATCTTGGCGAAGGATGAATCTTTGGCGAACGAGTTTTTCTATTTAACAATGGACTTGCATTGAATAAAGAAGTCTTATTATCTTCTTCCTGTATGAGATCATTGTGAACTAATGGACTAGGTAATGGTGTGTAATGTCTAGAGGGAGGTTTAGGGCTCCCTCCTGGTTCTATGTCTGCTTTGATTTTGATTTTACTACGACCACTTCTGTTACTAGAAATAGAAGAACCACGTGATATGTGAGCGTCACTGTCCTTCCTGTATTTCTTACGAGCATTCTTCCC